CCAACAGTGCATTTATTTTAAACAAAAAAGTAAGAATAAAACAACAACAAAAAAAGTGTTGAGAAAAAAAGAGCAGAAGTAAAATAAAGTGACAGTAGGGAGGCTATATATACAGGGGGGTACCGTTGCAGAGTCAATGTGCGGGGGCACCGGCTAGTTGAGGTAGTTGAGGTAATATGTACATGTGGGTAGAGTTAAAGTGACTATGCATAAATACTTAACAGAGTAGCAGCAGCGTAAAAAGGATGGGGTGGGGGGGGCAGTGCAAATAGTCCGGGTAGCCATGATTAGCTGTTCAGGAGTCTTATGGCTTGGGGGTAGAAGCTGTTGAGAAGTCTTTTGGACCTAGACTTGGCACTCCGGTACCGCTTGCCGTGCGGTAGCAGAGAGAACAGTCTATGACTAGGGTGGCTGGAGTCTTTGACAATTTTGAGGGCCTTCCTCTGACACCGCCTGGTATAGAGGTCCTGGATGGCAGGAAGCTTTGCCCCAGTGATGTACTGGGCCGTACGCACTACCCTCTGTAGTGCCTTGCGGTCAGAGGCCAAGCAGTTGCCATACCAGGCGGTGATGCAACCAGTCAGGATGCTCTCGATGGTGCAGCTGTAGAATTTTTTGAGGATCTGAGGACCCATGCCAAATCTTTTTAGTCTCCTGAGGGGGAATAGGCTTTGTCGTGCCCTCTTCACGACTGTCTTGGTGTGTTTGGACCATGATAGTTCGTTGGTGATGTGGACACCAAGGAACTTGAAGCTCTCAACCTGTTCCACTACAGCCCCGTCGATGAGAATGGGGGCGTGCTCAGTCCTCTTTTTTTTCCTGTAGTCCACAATCATCTCCTTTGTCTTGGTCACGTTGAGGGAGAGGTTGTTGTCCTGGCACCACACGGCCAGATCTCTGACCTCCTCCCTATAGGCTGTCTCATCGTTGTCGGTGATCAGGCCTACCACTGTTGTGTCGTCGGCAAACTTAATGATGGTGTTGGAGTCGTGCCTGGCCATGCAGTCATGGGTGAACAGAGAGTACAGGAGGGGACTGAGCACGCACCCCTGAGGGGCCCCCGTGTTGAGGATCAGTGTGGCAGATGTGTTGTTACCTACCCTTACCACCTGGGGGCGGCCCGTCAGGAAGTCCAGGATCCAGTTGCAGAGGGAGGTGAGATTCTTTGTGTGCTCTAGGGCAACAGTGTCTAGATGGAATTTGTATCTGTTGTCTTGGCTACTGGACCTTTTTTCGAACACCATTATTTTAGTCTTACTGAGATTCACTGTCAGGGCCCAGGTCTGACAGAATCTGTGCAGAAGATCTAGGTGCTGCTGTAGGCCCTCCTTGGTTGGTGATAGAAGCACCAGATCATCAGCAAACAGTAGACATTTGATTTCAGATTCTAATAGGGTGAGGCCGGGTGCTGCAGACTGTTCTAGTGCCCTCGCCAATTCGTTGATATATATGTTGAAGAGGGTGGGGCTTAAACTGCATCCCTGTCTCACCGCACGGCCCTGTGGAAAGAAATCTGTTATTTTTTTATTGCCAATGTTAACTGTGGTTTGTGTACATGGATTTTATAATGTCGTATGTTTTTCCCTCAACATCGCTTTCCATCAATTTGGATAGCAGACCTTCATGCCAAATTGAGTCAAAAGTTTTTTTGAAATCAACAAAACATGAGAAGACTTTGCTTTTGTTTTGGTTTGTTTGTTTGTCAATTAGGGTGTGCAGGGTGAATACCTGGTCTGTCATACGGTAATTTGGTAAAGAGCCAATTTGACATTTGCTCAGTACATTGTTTTCACTGAGGAAATGAACTTGTCTGCTGTTGATGATAATGGAGACTCCTCAGCGGGTCTCTCCTTCTCCTTTGTCACTCTCAGGCTGCATCCCAAATGGCTCCCTATTTCCTAAATAGTACACCACGGTGTAAGTAGTACACTATATAGGGAATAGGGTACCATTTGGGACATAGTGCCAGCTCTTTTGAAAGCCACTGTGCTGTTCCTATGGCACCAGCACCACTTTCACTCCTCTCTGAAACAACAGCACACGCCTGTAAAACCAATCATCTCTTTATTTCCTGTAAACCAGTGGTTTCCAACCTTTTTCTGTTACTGTACCAGATGTAAAATGATCCTGTTTTGATTAATTTAATAGAGTGAGTTAGGTCTGCTCTATACCAAATTAGCAATTGAGGCCTTCTTTGCGGGAGTGGGGGGCATGGGGTGGGCAGGAGGGGCATAGGTCTGATCTGAGGGGGTCTATATGGGGTGTGGGCATGGTTGGTTTGGGGGGGTATCTCTGGCTTCCTCCCCCTTAACTTTTTCTCTCTCTCCTCAGCCGGTTTCTGGCTACCTCCCCCTTAACACTCTCTCTCTCTCCTCAGCGGGTCTCTCCTTCTCCTTTGTCACTCTCAGGCTGCATCCCAAATGGCTCCCTATTTCCTAAATAGTACACCACGGTGTAAGTAGTACACTATATAGGGAATAGGGTGCCATTTGGGACATAGTGCCAGCTCTTTTGAAAGCCACTGTGCTGTTCCTATGGCACCAGCACCACTTTCACTCCTCTCTGACACAACAGCACAAGCCTGTAAAACCAATCATCTCCTTATTTCCTGTAAACCAGTGGTTCCTATCCTTTTTCTGTTACTGTACCTCTACCTGCAAGGAGTACCCCTGAAGTACCCCCTCATGTGTATTTTACCAGTAAGCCTATAGCCTCATTAGTCTTCTCAAGTACCCGCAGGGGTCCTAGTACCCCTGGTTGGGAACCACTGCTGTAAACCAATCATCCTGTTATTTCCTATAAACCTAGCTGTCTCTGTCTGATCTAATCTATGAGAGATGAGAGATGTTCTACACAGAATGGTTATATTTCCTTAGCTGTGTTCCTTCTGAAGTTATTGTGGTGAATTTAAAAAGCCAAATCACTGCAATTATGAAACTGATGGAGCCTAGTGTCCTCCAGTGTCTGTTTGTGGTATGAATAATAATAATGTATTTGAATGTTGTTTGATGTTATTGTGATTTTACTCTGTACACGAACGATCAAGTAAAACCACATTGTATAATATCTCTTTACTTTACCCTCCACAGGTATTATTCCAGATAAATTCAGATCAAACAGTCCAAGTGATATACAGATACTACATCTGCTGTTTTCTCATTTTACCAGTGGTTTACTCTTCTTGATCATTACCTCATAATACCATTATTGATTACACTAAAGATACATAATAGGATTAAAATGATTAAATGATGTTCCTGGTCATTGTATCCTGCTGTTAGATGTAGGAAGTTCAGTCTGGTGTAGTAGTTCATCTCTACCTGACAGGAAAAGCAGGAATGCCATCTAGAGGTGTTCCTTGGTGCTGAGGTCTCTGTGTAACCTGGGTGACACTGGAGGACAATGGAAGTTGATGCTAAATGCTTCTTTATTATACATTTGTTTAATCAAATGTCATTGTCCTCTTGAACATCCTCCTGTCTTCAGTTGGCTCCTCAATTCATTATCCTTGGTTGGAGAGGGAGGTAGCAGCAGTGTTCCTTGGTTGGAGAGGGAGGTAGCAGCAGTGTTCCTTGGTTGGAGAGGGAGGTAGCAGCAGTGTTCCTTGGTTGGAGAGGGAGGTAGCAGCAGTGTTCCTTGGTTGGAGAGGGAGGTAGCAGCAGTTTTCCTTGGTTGGAGAGGGAGGTAGCAGCAGTGTTCCTTGGTTGGAGAGGGAGGTAGCAGCAGTGTTCCTTGGTTGGAGAGGGAGGTAGCAGCTGTGTTCCTTGGTTGGAGAGGGAGGTAGCAGCAGTGTTCCTTGGTTGGAGAGGGAGGTAGCAGCAGTGTTCCTTGGTTGGAGAGGGAGGTAGCAGCAGTGTTCCTTGGTTGGAGAGGGACGTAGCAGCAGTGTTCCCGTAGTCTGGTGACAGTCTGAGAAATGTATGCTACACAGACACTTGACTGTGTAGATGGGAGATTCCTCATGTAGACTATGATTTGCATAAATACCTTGTTATCAATAGTTAACAGAATTAATTCACATTTACATTTACGTCATTTAGCAGACGCTCTTATCCAGAGCGACTTACAAATTGGTGCATTCACCTTATAGCCAGTGGGATAACCACTTTACACATTTATTTTTATTTTTATTTTTTTGGGGGGGGTGGGGTGGGGTAAGGGGGGGTGTATGGTAAGGGTGTACGACTGTCACGTGACAGTCGTGTTTAAGCAGAGAAGGTTTGACTGTATGTGAAAAGGTCCATTCTACTGCTACCCACTCACACAATAACTATTCAAAGAATAAACAGAGATCAAATAGCTTAGTATAAAGTAAAACATGAGAAACAATCTTATATGCCAGATATATGATTGATCTGTTGTTTACATCCTCACGTGTTTTAAATGTAAACAGTTGCGTTTGGCCTTGGACCTGTATTAGAAGAAACACCAAAAGGGATTTACACTTTGAAAAAAGGTTTGTTTGATTTCTTTTTGATACTGTATGTAATGCATCCTTCACATGAATGAATGATCAGCATGGTCTCATAGACTAGACGTAACATAGTAAATGTAAATCCGGGACACTCAAATTAGTATGATATGTTACGTATGGTACGGTTACATAAGACAGAAGGTTACTTAAGGCAAAAACGAAAGGAGGGTGGTTGTTCGGGGTGGATTGGTGGGCGTATAACGCGAACGTCTAGCAACCCAAAGGTTGCGTATTCGAATCGCCTCACGGACAACTTTAGCATTTTAGCAACTTTGCAACTACTTACAACGTTTTAGCTACTTTGCAACTACTTAACATGTTAGCTAACCCTTCCCCTATAACCCTAACCTAACCTTAAATATGTATAATTTAGCTGAAAGCAAAGTCCTGTCTCTGTGGAAACCATGGTTGCGTCCCAAATGGTAATTTATTCCTTATATAGTGCACTACATAGGGATTAGGGAATAGGGCTCCATTTGGGATGCACACCAACTGATTAGAGGTAGACTTTGCCCTGGAGGGACAGTTCCAGGAAGAGAAGGATCGGAGCCCTGTGTAAGAGGTAAGGTGAGTAGATCTGAGAGAAGAATTATAATACAATCAATATGCTCAAAGGATTTGTTACACCAACTGCTGTTGTATATTAAATGTATGATGTATGTCAGTACCTTCAAAACAGTTGCCTTATCAACAGTGGTGGGTTATTCCACAATGGCAAGGGAGGCTTTAGAGTTGGATTTTACTTATATGATTTACAAATATATTTGTATTTTTAGAGTCCATAATTTTGCTACAATTACTAGTGCTTTTCTCTGAATTTCACTGATTATTCAACAGGATCATTGTGTCTATCAGTACAGTAGAAGGAAGAGGAAGTTTTATTGCCAGTTAATGACGCAGGTACATTTCTTTGTGTGTTAATGAATAGGACTCATTACCTGGCGGTAATCTTTTGGAGGGTAACATGGATCAATCTAAAACAAGCAGTGAAGCCCAACCCCCACCGCCCTACTCTCAGGACTATAGGCAACAGAACACCTATGGCCAGCAGAACCCCTATGGCCAGCAGAACACCTATGGCCAGCAGAACACCTATGGGCAACAGAACACCTATGGCCAACGGAACACCTATGGGCAGCAGAACGCCTATGGTCAAAACAACTATAGTCATCCCCACTATGGTCTGAACGTTGGCCCTGGCAACATAGCGGTGGTCTCTCCAGCGGGTCAGTATGATGACATGGGTCAGGGTCATCCTGAGGAACAGCAGCAACATTGGGCTCCTCCACTACCACTACAGGCTGACTATTCCACTGGGCTGGAGGACACCGGCTGCTTTGATGACAAAGCTATAAGAAGAGGTCAGTCAGTGGCTGCGACTGAAATGACACCCAATTTACTGTGTAGTGCACTACTTTTGACCAGCGCCCATAGGGTTCTGCTGAAAAGTAGTGCACTATATAGGGAATAGGGTGCCATTTGGAACTCAGACAGTGTTTTTTTGGTTGGTGTCCTCGTATCATGATGATCTGGAGCCGCATCAGTCCTTGAAGTGTAGGGGTGCTGATTTAGGATCAGTTTTGCCTTTAAGATCATAATTAATAAGATCGTGTGGACAGGGTGAACATGATCCTAGATCAGCAACCCTACTGTGAGACACTTGATACACATGGCCCCTGGCGCTATTGATTAAACAAGTGTTGTGGTGAATGCGACCGTAATGCTCTGCTCCATGTTAATGCCCTGAAGTAAACTAGTGGGCCTACGGTAAACATCTGCTCACAGTTAAGGGATTTGTTTCCACAGGCTTTATAAAGAAGGTGTATCTGACTTTGATGATTCAGCTTCTACTCACCTTTGGAATCATCTGTGCCTTTCTGTATTGGTGAGACACTGACACTTTCATCATTACTCCATTTACAGTGTTCGACACTGAGTGTTACCCAACTTTAACACTTCAACACTTTAAGTGTTACCCAACTTTAACACTTCAACACTTTAAGTGCTACCCAACTTTAACACTTTAAGTGTTACCCAACTTTAACACTTTAACACTTTGTTACCCAATTTGAACACTTCAACATTTTAAGTGTTACCCAACTTAAAAGTGTTGAAGTGTTTAAAGTTGGGTAACACTTAAAGACTTCAACACTTGCAGTTGCCCAACACTTTGAAGTGTTGAAAGCAGTTCCTGTTAGATTCAATGTTCCATTTTAAGCTCCACAACACCACAGCGTTATAATAATGTACCTAGAAGGAGTGTATAAAACAGAGAGATGAAATGTTCTCTGTAATTGCAGGGAGGATCTGAGGGTCTGGTCCAGGAACACCTACTGGTTTTCTTACTCCATGATGTAAGTAACGGCATGACAACCACTGAATCCTTTTAACATCTCTCTGCTTTGACTCCTGAGCCAGTAATCAGAAACCTTCTCAGAGTAGGAGTGCTGATCTAAGATCCGATTGGTCTTTTAGATCATAATGAATGCCATGACACGGACATGGGGCCTGATGTTAGGTTAGTGCTCCGACTCTGAGTGGTTCTATGAATACAGGCCCTGATGTCTAAACTATTATATGAATATATTGTATTGTTTTCTCCTGAACAGGGCAGTGGTGCTCGTCCTCATAATAGCCTTGTCCTGTTGTGTCAATATACGTCGGAAGGTCCCGCTCAATTTCATAGCCTTGGGACTGTTTGTAAGTATCCATTCCAAGAAGGCATCAATCAATGAAAACAAGTTGGTTGTATTTTCTGACCTTTGTGTTATTTTTCTGTTTAGACCATTGCAGAAGGTCTACTGCTGGGCTCTGTGACTGTGTGAGTACTGTATGCCTCTGGAGTGAACCTGATGTACTTTCTCTCTGCTATATAGACTAAATCCTTTATAAACCAGCAGCTTTATATGTCACCTGTCAGTCAAAGTGAACTCATGCAAATGGCGGTTTGCAGTATAAGCTTATGGCTAAATCATTCCTCCATGGCGGTTTGCAGTATAAGCTTATGCCTAAATCATTCCTCCATGGCGGTTTGCAGTATAAGCTTATAGCTAAATCATTCCTCAATGTCGGTTTGCAGTATAAGCTTATGGCTAAATCATTCCTCCATGGCAGTTTGCAGTATAAGCTTATGCCTAAACCATTATTCCACCAAAGGAAACCTGACTCTAATACATCCAGTGATATTTCAGCATAGGGTTGAAAAACTCTGGTAACTTTCCCAAAATTCCCAAGTTTTCCAGAAATCATGGTTGGAGAATTCCTGCTTTCCTGCTTATTCCCTACCAATTCCGGGAATCGTCCAACCAGGATTTCTGTAAAAGCCTGGGAATTTTGGGAAAGTTACAGAAATTTTGCAACCCTATTTCAGTGAAAGATGACAGTTTGGTTTGTGTTGCAGGTTCTATGAGGCGGACGCTGTTATGTGGGCTGTGGGCGCCACAGCACTGGTCTCCCTAGCTCTGAGTGTCTTTGCCATGCAGTCCAGAGTACGTCCTCTCCATAGATATAGAAAGATGGCACACTTTAAATCCTTGTAATGGCCGTGTTCTGTGAAAGCATGGGCAGCGCCATTGTGGCTAACTCCATTTTAAAGTAGTCAATTTCCTCTCCTACTTGTGAGTGTACTGGTAATCCATAAAGAAACAACAGCATGCTGCATATCACCATCTACTGTGCTGCTGTGTGTACAGTCTGAACAGGTATAAAGCCAGGTTGGTGATTTACTGCCACCTGCAGTTATGGAATGCTTGCTCAGGAGTTTAAATCATTGGCTGACCCCTCCTGATGACCTGGATGGAATTCTGTGATCTTCTTAACACATAGGGAGTCTCACCCAAATGGCTACTTAAAAATGGGGAGAATCTCAATAGCGTTTCCTTGATTTCTCGCGTCCTCTCTCCTCGCCTCCTTCTCAAAACCAATTGGATGACAAGGTCAGAGGTCCCTCCTTCTCAAAACCCATTGGATGAGAAGGTCAGAGTTCCGACCTTCTCATCCAATGGGTTTTGAGAAGGAGACGAGGAGAGAGGACGCGAGGATTCAAGGAAATGCAATTGCACATTTTCCCATCAGAGGGGTGTTTCCATCAGACTGACTTGTTGCGGATAAAATGCTGTGTGTGATGAGATATGGCATAAAAAAACCTTTTGCGGTTAGGGTTAGGGTTCCCATGAACCAGACATTCATTAGACAGTTTGCTGATGAAGTGGACAGAGTAGGTTATATGTTGAGATATGGATAAAAGTTTTTTATTTGATAATTGGCAGCCAAAATGCATCATACGGCCCACATTTCTGTATTTTGAAAGTAACATATCTTGAAAACATGCTATATCAACAATAGACTAATGAAACAAATAGCGAAAGATAGTTTTTGGGTGGAGTTTTGCTTTAAGCACCATAAGTTATGAAATACACTGAGTATACCAAACATTAGGAACACCTTCCTAATATTGAGTTGCACCCCCTTCTGCCGTCAGAACAGCTTCAATTCATCGAGGCATGGACTCTACAAGGTGTCGAAAGCATTCCACAGGGTTGCTGGCCCATGTTGACTCCAATGCTTCCCACAGTTGTGTCTAGTTGGCTGGATGTCCTTTGGGTGGTGGACCATTCTTGATACACACGGGAAACTGTTGAGCGTGAAAACCCCAGCAGCATTTCAGTTCTTGACACAAACCAGTGTGCCTGGCACCTACTACCATACCCCGTTCAAAGGTAATTAAATATTTTGTCTTGCCCATTCACCCTCTGAATGGTACACATACACAATCCATGTCTCAATTGTCTCAAGGCTTAAAAATCCTTCTTTAACCTGTCTCCTCCCCTTCATCTACACTGATTGAAGTGGATTTAACAAGTGACATCAATAAGGGATCATAGCTTTCACCTGGATTCACCTGGTCAGTCTGTCATGGAAAGAGCAGGTGTTCTTAAGGTTTTGTATACTCAGTGTATTCTAGTGAGTCTGTCGACAAAATTGTAACTAAAAGGTACACTGTATTTTGTAAGTATACTCAGTGTATGTTAGGCCTAAAGTTCATAACTTATTCCATCTGCCTATAAACTCCACATGCTTTTCCACATGGTGGTGGTAGTGTCTACAACTACACATCATTTTACATTTTACATTTTAGTCATTTAGCAGACGCTCTTATCCAGAGCGACTTACATGAGCAATTAGGGTTAAGTGCCTTGCTTAAGGGCACATCGACAGATTTTTCACCTAGTCGGCTCGGGGATTAGAACCAGCGACCTTTCGGTTACTGGCACAACGCTCTTACCCACTAAGCTACCTGCCGCCGTCAATATCACGTGACTCCAAGTTTACTGCCATATGATGGTTTTTATATCAATATTTGCACATAAAAGCGTTTCCACCTTCATTTCTCACGTTATACATTTTACTGACACAAAAAGATCCCACCTTTGCGGTTTCCATCCGACATGTACTTTACTGGCATACAAAGGTTGGAAGGAAACATGGTTAGTGACTGTGATCTGTGGTTGTCTTACCTACAACTACATATTACAAAAGTATGTGGACACCCCTTCAAATTAGTGGATTCGGCTGTTTCAGCCACACCCGTTGCTGACAGGTGTATAAAAAAATTGAGCACACAGCCATGCAATCTCCATAGACAAACATTTGCAGTAGAATGGCCTTACTGAAGAGCTCAGTGACTTTCAACGTGACAACGTCATATGATGCCACCTTTCCAACGAGTCAGTTCGTCAAATTTCTACCCTGCTAGAGCTGCCCCGGTCAACTGTAAGTGCTGTTATTGTGAAATGGAAACATCTAGGAGCAACAACGGCTCAGCCGTGGTAGGCCACACAAGCTCACAGAACGGGACCGCCGAGTGCTGAAGTGCGTAAAAATCGTCTGTCTCATTCGAGTTCCAAACTGCCTCTGGAAGCAACGTCAGCACACAACAACTGTTCGTCGGGAGCTTCATGACATGGGCTTCCATGGCCGAGCAGCGGCACACAAGCCTAAGATCACCATGCGCAATGCCACGCGTCGGCTGGAGTGGTGTAAAGCTCGCCGCCATTGGACTCTGGAGCAGTGGAAACGGGTTCTCTGGAGTGATGAATCACGCTTCACCATCTGGCAGTCCGACAGACGAATCTGGGTTTGGCGGATGCCAGGAGAACGCTACCTGGCCTAAAGCACAGTGCCAACTGTAAAGTTTGGTGGAGGAGGAATAATGGTCTGGGGCTGTTTTTCATGGTTCGGGCTAGGCCCCTTAGTTCCAGTGAAGGGAAATCTTAACACTACAGCACACAATGACATTCTAGACAATTCTGTGCTTCCAACTTTGTGGCAACAGTTTGGGGAAGGCCCTTTCCTGTTTCAGCATGACAATGCCCCCGTGCACAAAGCGAGGTCCATACAGAAATAGTTTGTCGAGATCGATGTGGAAGAACTTGACTGGCCTGCACAAAGCCCTGACCTCAACCCCATCAAACACCTTTGGGATGAATTGAAACGTCGACTGCGAGCCAGGCCTAATCGCCCAACATCAGTGTCCGACCTCACTAATGCTCTTGTGGCTGAATGGAAGCAAGTCCCCGCAGCAATATTCCAACATCTAGTGGAAAGCCTTCCCAGAAGAGTGGAGGCTGTTATAGCAGCAAAGAGGGGACAAACTCCATATTAATGCCCATGATTTTTGAATGAGATGTTCGACGAGCAGGTGTCCACATACTTTTGGTCACGTAGTGTACAGTTGAATGCACTGACTAAGTGGCTCTAGTTAAGAATGTCTGCTAAATGACTAAAATGTAGCTTACTAGTAGTCTACCGTCTTCCCTAATTTCTGTTATAGTGGGACTTCACCTTAGCCAGTGGGGGCTTGTGGGTGTTCGGTTGGACTCTCATATCCTTTGCATTGTTGTGTGGAATCATGCGATCCCAGGTAAGTCAAGCCATTTCACAGGTATACCAGCATGTCCAAAAAATTTAAAGGGGCAATCTGCAGTTTAAACAATAACAAAGCCACAACCTGCCACTGTTTTGGTAAACAGCTGATGAATGGGTCTGGCGAAATGTAAATGTAATGTACCCACTCTCAAATTCATAGACAGATCTAAGGATGCAAGGACTGGCCGAAAATCAATGTACCTATCGCAGATTGCCCCTTTAAAACACAGTATTTTATATTGTGTATTGTATTGGAGATTGAAGAACATTAACTATGTTTCCGTTTTAGAAATACACTTGTTCAGAACTAACTTAGTGTTGTGTTTTAATCCATAGTACCTTTACATTGTGTATGCTTGCCTGGGGACCTTGCTATTTTCTTTGGTAAGTAACCTTCTTCCTACATCTATTCTATTCATGGTTGTTGTCAAAGCTATTAATTTGGCCACCTTCATACCACCAAGCAATAAACATTCACTGACATCTATATAAGAATGTATGTAAGGTTTCACGAGTCCTTTATACACAATCTTTAAGAAGCTTTGGAATGGTCACCCATGTGGGTTTTTAAAATGAAAAGCTGTTTATGACTCATTCTGTAAGCAGGTAGAAACAGTAATGTATTTTTGTAGCAATTGAACAACTGATTAGTGTATATTTGTGTCTCTCTCCAGTACCTGGTGATGGACACCCAGCTCATACTGGGTGGGAACCACAAATACAGCATTTCACCAGAGGAGTACATCTTTGCGGCTCTCAACCTGTACCTGGACATCATCTCTCTGTTCACTTTGCTACTGTCACTCATTGGACTCAGCCGTTAACTTAATACATTGTCTTACGTCTGATAGCGCAACAAGCCACCTGTCCTGATCCGTTGAGGAGGAGTTACACCAACTGTCGAAGACAATGCCTTTTAATATGGATCAGCATCAAAGATTCAGCCAGAGAAAGCACTTCTATGTTTCGTATTCTTTGATGTATAAATTACCCCATTGACATTCCATGTTATGCAACTTAGTGCCTTCACTAAGAATTCACACCCCTTGACTTTTTCCACATTTTGTTGTGTTACAGCTTGAATAAATGTTTTATTAAATTGACATTTTATGTCACTGGCCTACACACAATACCCCATAATGTCAAAGTGGAATTATGTTTTTAGAAATGTTTACTAATTAATTTTAAATAAAAAATCTGAATTAAAAAGTTATTGTCGGATATTATTCATCCTAATCAGACAGGTTTTTTTTATATGGACGATACATTGGAGATAATATAAGATATGTACTGGAAACAATAGAACACTATGAAAAATCTGGGAAACCAGGCCTGGTATTCATAGCTGACTTTGAAAAGGCCTTTGATAAAGCACGACTAGAATTTATATACACTGCTCAAAAAAATAAAGGGAACACTTAAACAACACAATGTAACTCCAAGTCAATCACAATTCTGTGAAATCAAACTGTCCACTTAGGAAGCAACACTGATTGACAATACATTTCACGTGCTGTTGTGCAAATGGGATAGACAACAGGTGGAAATTATAGGCAATTAGCAAGACACCCCCAATAAAGAAGTGGTTCTGCAGGTGGTGACCACAGACCACTTCTCAGTTCCTATGCTTCCTGGCTGATGTTTTGGTCATTTTGAATGCTGGCGGTGTTTTCACTCTAGTGGTAGCATGAGACGGAGTCTACAACCCACACAAGTGGCTCAGGTAGTGCAGCTCATCCAGGATGGCACATCAATGCGAGCTGTGGCAAGAAGGTTTGCTGTGTCTGTCAGCATAGTGTCCAGAGCATGGAGGCGCTACCAGGAGACAGGCCAGTACATCAGGAGACGTGGAGGAGGCCGTAGGAGGGCAACAACCCAGCAGCAGGACCGCTACCTCCGCCTTTGTGCAAGGAGGAGCACTGCCAGAGCCCTGTAAAATGACCTCCAGCAGGCCACAAATGTGCATGTGTCTGCTCAAACGGTCAGAAACAGACTCCATGAGGGTGATATGAGGGCTCGACGTCCACAGGTGGGGGTTGTGTTTACAGCCCAACACCGTGCAGGACGTTTGGCATTTGCCAGAGAACACCAAGATTGGCAAATTCGCCACTGGCGCCCTGTGCTCTTCACAGATGAAAGCAGGTTCACACTGAGCACGTGACAGACGTGACAGAGTCTGGAGACGCCGTGGAGAACGTTCTGCTGCCTGCAACATCCTCCAGCATGACCGGTTTGGCGGTGGGTCAGTCATGGTGTGGGGTGGCATTTCTTTGGGGGGCCGCACAGCCCTCCATGTGCTCGCCAGAGGTAGCCTGACTGCCATTAGGTACCGAGATGAGATCCTCAGACCCCTTGTGAGACCATATGCTGGTGCAGTTGGCCCTGGGTTCCTCCTAATGCAAGACAATGCTAGACCTCATGTGGCTGGAGTGTGTCAGCAGTTCCTGCAAGAGGAAGGCATTGATGCTATGGACCGCCCGTTCCCCAGACCTGAATCCAATTGAGCACATCTGGGACATCATGTCTCGCTCCATCCACCAACGCCACGTTGCACCACAGACTGTCCAGGAGTTGGCGGATGCTTTAGTCCAGGTCTGGGAGGAGATCCCTCAGGAGACCATCCGCCACCTCATCAGGAGCATGCCCAGGCGTTGTAGGGAGGTCATACAGGCACGTGGAGGCCACACACACTACTGAGCCTCGTTTTGACTTGTTTTAAGGACATTACATCAAAGTTGGATCAGCCTGTAGTGTGGTTTTCCACTTAAATTTTGAGGGTGACTCCAAATCCAGACCTCCATGGGTTGATAAATTTGATTTCCATTGATAATTTTTGTGTGATTTTGTTGTCAGCACATTCAACTATGTAAAGAAAAAAGTATTTAATAAGATTATTTCATTCATTCAGATCTAGGATGTGTTGTTTAAGTGTTCCCTTTATTTTTTTGAGCAGTGTATATAAATGCCTGGAATATTTCAATTTTGGAGAATATCTTATATAATGGGTTAAAGTTATGTATAGTAACCCTATGTGTAAAATAGTAAATAATGGCTACTTCTCAGAAAGTATTCAACTGTCAAGAGGAGTTAAACAAGGTTGTCCACTATCGGTATATCTATTTATTATTGCCATCAAAATGTTAGCTGTTAAAATCAGATCCAACAATATCAAGGGGCTAGAAATCCAGGGCTTAAAAACAAAGATGTCATTGTACACTAATGATTGTTTTCTTTTAAATCCACAATTTGGATCCCTCCACAGCCTCATAAAGTTGGTTGCAATTTCAGTTTAATCCACCAGAAAAGACAGAACAAATATTACGGTTAAACTCAAATATACTAATTGATTTTTTAAAAAGCTATATTTTTGGAAAGAAATTTTTAAAAACTGTATAATCTTTGTAAATTATATAAATAGGACTGGTGGAGTTGTCACACATGCAGCTACCAAAAATATATGGAAATGTTTGCTCTACTCAAAATTACAACCAACTAATTGCAGCATTACCACAAAAATGGAAGAGGTAAGTGGAAGGGGAAGAAAGTGAGGAGCTTGTCTGTCGGCATTAAAGACCAACATTGGTTAAAGGAAATTGTGATAAATAAAAAAGTATACCAGTTTAATTTAAGGACCACAAAATGTACAGCTGTGCCATATATATTGCAAAATAGTTGAGAAGAGATTTTCGATGTACCGATTCTATGGCATATGGTTTATGAACTGATGAACAAAACTATGTCTGATTCCAAACTTCGAGTTTTTCCATTTACATTATTATACAAAATTATTGCAACCAATAGAATGTGATATATATGGGGGGATACAGCCATCCCAGCTCTGCAGACTTTGCTGCAAAGAGACAAAATCATTAGATCATTTGTTTTTGTACTGCCCATATGTAGCTTGTTTTTGGTCGCAGTTTCAGGAACGGCAGAAGAAATGCAACATTTACCTCTGCAAATAGCACTGCTGGGTGATTTGAAATGTCATAGTCAATCGATCAAAAATATAATAATACTCTTAGCAAAAATGTCTATCTTTAATTTACAAACTGTAGAAACTATTAGAATAGAAAGGTTCAGAACTTTTGTGAAACATCACAGCACAGTTGAAAAATATATGGCAAATAGAAAAAAACTGGATGGTCTTCAGAGATAGATGGGATGGGTTGAGTGGAGCTGAAGGGTGGGACTAAAAATAACGAGATAACTAATGTAAAATATACTGTGTCCGTAAAATGTACTGTATTTAGTAGGTAGCTGGAAGTAGAAGCAAGCCTATTTGTTGTTTCCCACTAGTTTACTCCAATTAGGGGAAGGGAGGTAGGGTTAGTGGAAAATAATAAAGGAAAATATATTTTAAAAACATATAAGGGGATTGGATATGATGCAAACATTTACTTTAACGGAAGCCACAATCTATCGGCAATATTAAAGATGATCCACCCCCTTAAATATTGAAAAAAAGAAAAGCTGAAATGTATTGAGTTTTTAGACAAGTATTTAATCACTTTGTTATGGAAAGCCTAACTAAGTTCAGCAGTAAAAATGTGCTTAACAAGTCACATAATAAGTTGCATGGACTCTGTGTGCAATAATAGCGTTTAACATGATTTATGAATGACTACCTCATCTCTGTACCCCGCACATACAATTATCTGTAAGGTCCCTCAGTCAAGCAGTGAATTTCAAACAGATTCAACCACAAAGACCAGAGAGGTTTTCCAATGCCTCGCAAAGAAGGGCACCTATTGGCAGATGGGTAATAATAAGAAGAAAAAAAGACATTGAATATCCCTTTGAGCATGGTGAAGTTATTAATTACACTTTGGATGGTGTATCAATACACCCAGTCACTACAAAGACACAGGCGTCCTTCCTAACTCAGTCGCCAGAGAGGAAGGAAATCGCTCAGGGATTTCACCATGAGGCCAATGGTGACTTTATAACAGTCACAGAGTTTAATGGCTGTGATAGGAGAAAACTGAGGATTGATCAACAACATTGTAGTTACTCCACAATACTAACCTAAATGACAGAGTGAAAAGTAGGAAGCCTGTACAGAATAAAAATATTCCAAAACATGCATCCTGTTTGCAGTAAAGCACTGAAGCAAAACTGAAAAAAATGTGTCAAAGAAATTAACTTTATGTCATGGATTCAAAGCGTTATGTTTGGGGCAAATCCAATACAACACATCACTGAGTACCACTCTTCATATTTTCAAGCATGGTGGTGGCTGCATCATGTTAGGGGCATGCTTGTCATCGGCAAGGACTAGGGAGTTTTTTAGGATAAAAATAAATGGAATAGAGTTCAGCACAGGCAAAATCCTAGAGGAAAACCTGGTTCAGTCTGCTTTCCAACAGACACTGGGAGACAAATTCACCTTTCAGCAGGACAATAACCTAAAACAAGGCCAAATCTACACTGGAGTTGCTTACCATGATGACATTGAATGTTCCTGAGAGGCCTAGTTACAGTTTTGACTTAATTCAGCTTGTACATCTATGGTAAGACTTGAAAATGGCTGTCTAGCAATGATCAACAACCAATTTGACAGAGCTTGAATAATGAGCAAATATTGTACAATCCAGGTGTGCAAAGCTCTTAGAGACTAAGAGCCAATTTAAGCTTGATCCGAAAATGTGGTCTGAGGCGCCGTATGGATGGTGTGACGCAATTGCGGCGCCTCTGGAGGCCAAATTGAGCTCCATACCGCATCGCCGTGTGCCTCTCAAATTTTGAAACAATGCGGAGGGCTCCATATAACTCCACATTGACATGATTGGTTGACAGTAGCTGAGGGCGGGAGGTCCTGTATGAACACAAACTCACTTCCTTGACATCTTCCTTCACAACAGCTCTGCTACGCTAAGCGCAAGAAGTATGAATGTCCTGACTTCTGCAGAGGCCATATCACTGTAAATGCTGCATGGCCAATGCAGACGTTGGATTGACCATGCAGTGCCTTTTACCCAGAAAGACTCACAGCTGTAATCGCTGCCAAAGGTGATTCTAACGTATTGACTCAGTGGAGTAAATACTTACGTAAATGAGATATTTCTGTATTACATTTTCAATAAATTAGCAAACATTTCTACAAAAATGTTTTCACTTTGTCATTATGGGGTATTGTGTGTAGATGAGTGAGGAAAAAACATATTTTAATAAAACAATTATTCAGGGTGTAACAACAAAATGTGGAATAAGTCAATGGGTAAGAATACTTTCTGAAGACACTGTATGAATGTAGATAATAGAAAGCATTGGTGAACGTTTTATTTGTTTTGAATGTTTTATAATAAAAAATAACATTCCACTCAGAAGTAAAACTCAATAGAAAGCGGTGATGATAGAAATATAGATTTGTACGTTTTATAACAAAAATAACATTGCGTCTGCTAAATGACTAAAATGTAAATGTAAAACTCAATAGAAAGCACTGGTTAAGATTGATATAGATTTTAATGTTTTTGTATAGAAAAAAATACATTCCACTCAGTCGTAAAACTCAAGGTTTATTGGCAACACATCAAACAGTATGTTTTTCATATAAAGAGGGAATGTATAAAGTATAGACTATGAAAGTGCAAATAGCATTTCAAGGATTAGTTGCTTTATAATAAAATGCTAAGAATGTCCAAATTCAACGTTATTTTCTGTTTTACTCATTTCATGCACATCATACTGTTACATCAAGGACAACTCAACCGATTTACATTACTCCCACAAGTTCACCAGCTCCATGTATGGCTCTCACAGCTTAACGGTTGCTAAATGCAATACGTTTCTTTAGCGGTTGTTTCAATGGTCAATTTACGTTTACTTCAATACAAATCACACTAGATTGGATAAAGATCAATTCCAAAAGTGAAACTTTGAAATATCAATATTATTTATATTTCACATATACTTTATAGACGATAAATCAATACATCTTATTTTTTTCAAATCAGTTATTAAGTATATCTTGATATCCATTTTCAATCGTAATAAGAAACGTTCAATTTAAATAAATAAGTCAGTTTTTCAATATATAGTGTTTTCTGCTGCAGAATACACTTTACAGATACCTTTCCAAAGTCAACTCTCGTCATAAACTTGTAGTTCAGTTATCGACCCACAGATATGTCAAACAGTGTTCAATATACATCATCAAGTAAAATCACAGTTATACTTAATAAATGCATTATATAAAACGCACCGGAAACAATCTGGAACCACACTAAAGGAGGCTACAAATGGATATAAAAATTTATTTAAAAAGTATCAAGTTTGGACACGTGTTAGTTTTATGAGCGGAATTTCTATAACGTGTCTTTGTAGTTTTTACACTACATGACCAAAAGTATGTGGACACCTGCTCGTCGAACATCTCATTCCAAAAACATGGGTATTAATATGAAGTTGGTCCCCTCTTTGCTGCTATAACAGACTCTACTCTTCTGGGGAAGGCTTTCCACTAGATGTTGGAACATTGCTGCGGGGACTTGCTTCCATTCAGCCACAAGAGCATTAGTGAGGTCGGCCACTGATGTTGGGCGATTAGGCCTGGCTCGCAGTCACCGTTCCAATTGATCCCAAAGGTGTTCAATGGGGTTGAAGTCAGGGCTTTGTGCAGGCCAGTCAAGCTCTTCCACATCGATATCGACAAACCATTTCTGTATGGACCTCGCTTTGTGCATGGGGGCATTGTCATGCTGAAACAGGAACTTCCCCAAACTGTTGCCACAAAGTTGGGAGCACAGAATCGTCTAGAATGTGTATGCTGTAGCGTTAAGATATCCCTTCACTGGAACTAAGGAGCCTAAACCATGAAAAACAGCCCCAGACCATTATTCCTCCTCCACCAAACTTTACAGTTGGCACTATGCATTCGGGCAGGTAGCGTTCTCCTGGCATCCGCCAAACCCTGATTAGTCCGTCAGACTGCCAAATGGTGAAGCATGATTCATCACTCCAGAGAATGCGTTTTCACTGCTTCAGAGTCCAATGGCGGCAAGCTTTACACCACTCCAGCCGACGCTTGGCACTGCGCATGGTGATCTTAGGCTTGTGTGCGGCTGCTTGGCCATGGAAACACATTTCATGAAGCTTCTGACGAACAGTTATTGTGCTGACATTGCTTCCAAAGGCAATTTGGAACTCGGTAGTGAGTGTTGCAACCGAGGACAGATGATTTCTACGTGTTACGCACTTCAGCACTCGGCGGTCCCATTCTGTGAGCTTGTGTGGCCTACCACTTCGCGGCTGAGCCGTTGTTGCTCCTAGATGTTTCCACTTCACAATAACAGCACTTACAGTTGACCGGGGCAGCTCTAGCAGGGCATACATTTGACGAACTGACTTGTTGGAAAGGTGGCATCCTATGACGGTGCCACGTTGAAAGTCACTGAGCTCTTCAGTAAGGCCATTCTACTGCCAATGTTTGTCTATGGAGATTGCATGGCTGTGTGCTTGATTGTATACACCGGTCAGCCACGGGTGTGGCTGAAATAGCCGAATCCACTAATTTGAAGGGGTGTCCACATACTTTCATATATATAGTGTAGCTACACACCATTAATTTCTGTAAGACCTCAGGAAAATGTGGCAATAAATTAAAAAAGATTGACATAAAGGCACTGTAATGAACTGTGTAGAGAACCGTTTTTAAGACCCGCTGAACCCCTCTACTGTAGTTGCTGAGTCCCATCAAGGCTTGAACTTTATAAGAGTTTATTTAGCTTTATGGGCTGGTTTCCTGGACACAGATTAGGCCTGAACCTCGTCCTGGACTAGAAAGCAGGGTCAATGGAGAATCTCCATTGAAAGTGATGTTTAGTCCAGGACTAGGTTTACTGTGTGTCTGAGAAAGCAGCCCTATACTAGTTTAGAATGACCAGTGACATCATTACTACAGTGATTAGGTATAAACAAGTAACTGATTACAATTCTTCTCTTACTACTGTTGTTTTCCTACTGAGCGAACAGCAGCAGCAACGATTATGTTACTTTCTATTCTCCTGTCAGGGCTGCTAGCCTGTGTATCTTTACGAATACTGTCAGTCAGTCTTCTAATGGGTTCAGTACAACAAGGTCTAATAGATCTAATCAGGCACAATTCGCTTGGAGTCCACTTGGTGATTACAAACTGTGCTTTTGTTAGCCAGTGTTTGGCACCTAACAACTTACCGACACATTAGGCAGATCTGGATGGGACTGAGAGCACTGTTATATTGGTATAATAAAACTACTAGAAACACGCATCACAGCACGGCACTGCTCTCCTGTACAGCTGATTACAACCTCCCTCAGAACTCTCCTGTACAGCTGATTACAACCTCCCTCAGAACTCTCCCGTACAGCTGATTACAACCTCCCTCAGAACCAAGTCCAAACACAATACAGTAGGCTCTTATACTCCAGCGGAATTAAAAAATATATATTATTATCAATATCAGAAAATATTAGATCAAAAACTCCTGCAAATGTATTGACTATAATAATGCACTATAATACTGCATCATCTCATGTTGTAATCTAAAACAGATCATCTGAGAGAAGCAACTTATCATCATCATCTTATCAGCAAATATCCATTTGGGTAATATAATACCAATAACACCCATTCAAACATCTTCCATCCCGCTTTATAGGAATCCATCCAGTCATCCAGTCCCGTGTAGCTCAGTTGGTAGAGCATGGCGCTTGCAACGCCAGGGTTGTGGGTTTGATTCCCACGGGGGGCCAGTATGAAAAAATGTATGCACTCACTAACTGTAAGTCGCTCTGGATAAGAGCGTCTGCTAAATGACAAAAAAAATGTAAATACCCTGGGGGCATCACATGCCAATTTAGATCAGCTATCAAGTGTCTGATGTATACTTGTAAACACTGGAAAGTGAAATACACTCCATTCCTCATAATATATCTTCTACTGCACTACAATCAAGTCAGGATTAATTCCCCCAACACCATCACTGGCTACTTGGTAATGTCCCCTCTCAGTAAGGATTGGTCCTCTTTCGCTCTGCATGTCAGTGGTTTTATCCCTCTGAAGGCTTCTGTCTTCCATCAGACCAGGAGAGTTGGCTCCTCCAACTCAGAGTTTTCATCCAATCACAATCAGACCAGGTGTGTCTCCTCCTCCCACTTAGATTTTTCCACCAATCAGACCAGGTGTATCTGCTCCTCCCACTCTGAAGAGCTGGTGCTCGGCAGAAGGTCAGAGGTCACAGAGTCACACATGGGTGTGTCAACGTGAACGACGTTACCCCCACCGAGCCTCTCCCCGCCCCGGTCCCCTGTCCCGGAAGTCACCATGCAGGGCGGGGCCATGGCCTCCAACCCCACCACCAGGTCTAGCTGGGTGGGCCTCTCCCTCTCAGCCTCCATCTCCTCCAGGCCCTGGGAAAGGAAGGGGAAACAGTCCCCATCTTCCCCCAGCTCGCCCTCACCCCCCTGGGGCTTGGCATGGGGCTGGTGGAGGTTAGTGCTGGCTGTGGTCTGTGCTGCTGTGTTGAAGTCTAGGTCTGTGTCTGAGGAGGTGGTGGTGGTGGTGGAGGGGATGAGGGTGATGCTCTGAGGGTTCATGTCATGGAACCAGGCCATGATGTTGCCCAGCAGGTTAGTGTTGGGGTGTGAGGGGTCCTGGAGCCCTGTTGAGGTGGTGGTAGTGGAGTCCGTAGTATCACTGGATGATGAGAATAGAGCCCCACCTGAAGAAGGCTCCCTGAATGGGTTGAGATTGTGGTTGCTGTAGTGCTGGTGTGGGGCCTGGACCCCTGGAGACCCTTCATACTGGTGCTGGCTGCTGATGGTCCTCATGTTGCCTAGTCTCATGAGACTATCCCCCAGCTCCAGGAGCTCTGAGCTGCTGATGGCTCCCCGGGGCCCCACCTCCACCCCCTGGGGCCCCGCGTCCAGTCTGGAGGGGAGGGAGGTGCCGATGGCCCCCAGGGACGCCTCATTGGACAAGAAGTCTGGAGTGTCCCCGCCCATCGCCAACCCAGACTCTTGGAGTGACAGCTGGATAGCCAACAGGATGTTGGGATCGTCCTCATCCAATGAGCCCAAGCCCTGTAACACAAACATAACGATGGGGGAAAGTATGCATTTCATGTGGAAAGAGGGACGAAGGTCTTGTAGAATATAAATATTTAGTCTGTTTAAACCTATTGGTGCTGTTTCTATGTCTTGTAAGGTGTTGTTATGACGTAAGATACATTTGTGTGAAGACAGACAGTAAAGAAAATGTTATCAAAAGTAAGAAATAAAACAATTTTATACCGGCAAGTCTGAACTTGACATTGGTCCCGAAATGTATTTTGTCAATAAACTATCTGGCTTATATAATAAGAGATAAATCGTTGGCAGGGAGGAAGACGAATACACAGACGACATGAAAACACTGAACTCACCATGGGGGGACCGTGTCTTCGACCACCTCCAATTTCCTGTGTGTCTGTTCATGAATAAAAACCCAGTCAGTCAATGTAACAGAACAATCACACTGACAAACTCAGAGCTCAAACCATTCAAGGCCTTCCCAGCAAAGGAAAAGCTAGCTATTATTCCTATGTTACCTTTTCCAGGAAAGCAGTCATTCATGTGGTGAAAACACTGACCCATTAATGGGGACAAAAACACATCAGCCTTTTAGGAAACGTATAGGAAACATACAGTCATAGCTGGATATACTATAGAAATACCAGGTAGACAGATACCTGCAAACACATACAGTCATAGCTGGATATCCTATAGAAATACCAGGTAGACAGATACCTGCAAACACATACAGTCATAGCTGGATATCCTATAGAAATACCAGGTAGACAGATACCTGCAAACACATACAGTCATAGCTGGATATCCTATAGAAATACCAGGTAGACAGATACCTGGAAACACATAGTCATAGCTGGATATCCTATAGAAATACCAGGTAGACAGATACCTGCAAACACATACAGTCATAGCTGGATATCCTATAGAAATACCAGGTAGACAGATACCTGAAAACACATACAGTCATAGCTGGATATCCTATAGAAATACCATGTAGACAGATACCTGAAAACACATACAGTCATAGCTGGATATCCTATAGAAATATCAGGTAGACAGATACCTGCAAACACATACAGTCATAGCTGGATATCCTATAGAAATACCAGGTAGACAGATACCTGAAAACACATACAGTCATAGCTGGATATCCTATAGAAATACCAGGTAGACAGATACCTGCAAACACATACAGTGAGTGCTACACATTAGTAGTGAGATGATGTGAGTTGGCAGTGTGATGGCTTGTTTAAAGCCACACCCACAGGGCCGCCCCTATTTCAATGGAATTCCTGTCCTAGAGCAGAAATGCCTGTTTAGTTCCACCTCCGAATAATGACCTAGGCTCCTAATACATATTCAGGAATTGGGGGTGCGAACTAGAGGTCTTCACGGGTCCAACAGGTTGAAATTCCGAGATCCTACCCGGGACCTGAGTGGGTCCGGATCGGGTCTGATATAATTGCCACGGGTCTCGGGTATGTGCAATTAAAGTAGATTTACTAACTGGACCCGTCCTCTGTTAATTTAACATGTGTGAGGTTATGTCATGTAAACGTTATGAGAACTGAGCGAGCTTGTTATCCGTTTCAGCCTATTGCAACTCAATAAAACATATCGCTTATGTCCAGCTGAAACTGGTTCCAGCTGCTCACCTCACGTGCGCCTGCTGAGGACAAGGAGAGAGAGAGTGACTGAAAGGAGCCTTTGCCAGGCTACTGTTGATTGCGAAGATGGAGGCCTTTTTTTATTGAAGTAAAATGACAGAGGAGAAAGAGTATGCTGACGAGAAGCTGAGAAGGGGAATTACATTTTACATTTTAGTCATTTTAGCAGACGCTCTTATCCAGAGCGACTTACAGTTAGTGAGTGCATACATTTTCATACTGGCCCCCCGTGGGAAACAAACCCACAACCCTGGCGTTGCAAGCGCCATGCTCTACCAACTGAGCTACAGGGGAATGTCCTCGGGGACAAGTGAACAAAGACGAGAAGAACGCTGGTGCGGCCAAATGGACTGTGTGATATTGATTATTACCCTAATAAAGTTAAGAAACTTTTGTGAAGGATTGGTGTGGCTATTATTAGGCTTAGCTACAGCAGGCCTACGAAGGCAGAACGCACCAGCACTCCAACTGACTCCGACAGTTGAACTTTAGATGAGGAAGAATGTTTTAGGCCACAGTTACTCTTTTAATCTAACAATAATGCTTATTTTTATAAATATATATTCTGATCGATTTACAAATTAGCCTCCTGTACGCCTGTATCTGTATAGCAGCTGTTAGCCTATCTGACAAGAATAAAGACATTCATGTCGGTGTCGGGAACATGGTTCCGGCATATCACTTTCTTTCTCTCTAGGGCTCGAACTAAAAGCTTCTCTTCCTTTATGTTGATTTAATATTAATATTATACAGAGGACACCGAAGCCTATAGGCCTATGCATGCAATGCCCTGATGCATTTAGTGCTCAAATCTCCAACAGCTGAACCCGCGAGGTGGACAATTATTGTTTTAGGAAGTTAAAAAACCAATAAAACAATAGACTATAAAGTTTTTAATATGCTACAGATCGAAACACAACAAATAGTTTTTTTGCTGCAATTTGTTATAGGCAGTTTTTAAGGACACATAACAGTGGATCATTTGGCCAATATGGCTTGTTTATTGATGGCGCTGGCAGCGACCAGCTGGAGGTTTATTTCTCTCTCTCTACTCTGGTATCTGAACGGGTCTCGGATCCGAACCAGAACGGGTCTGTTTGGGTTGGTTTTTCCCATGGGCCTTTTCGGAACGGGTCTGACTGCCCTTGGGTCCATTCGGAACGGGTCTCCATTTTTTGAAAATGTATTCATGAATATCGGGTCGGGTGGGAAAGCCACGGATCCATTTCGGAACAGGTCCACATTTTTGGACCAATGAAGACCTCTAGTGCGCCTAATACATATTCAGGAATTGGGGGTCTGAACGTCGCCGTGAATTCCACGTGTACTGGAGAGAAATATACCCACTAGGACTCTGACACGGACAGCGGTCAGGGTAGCTAGCTAGCTTGCTAACCTTATCTAAACCTTTGGTAAGCTATTTTCCGGATAGAAGTCTGTTAAAATTCTGAAATTGTCATCCAATAACAGTGGCGCTGATGGAAGGCTATTTGGCAGCGGTACAGCAAAGCCAAGTCAGACATCCTGTGCTCATGGTTCTCACAGAGGAAGTGAAATGATAGGCTACAATGACTTTGTTCATGATGCACGCCGCTCAAATGATAGGCTATGTAACAAAACCCTGAGCGCATCGGACTTATTGACTTAAATCGTTGTGCAACATCATGGATAAGCTCTGGGCATCGTCTTTCAGCTGAATATAATCTTTTTTCCCCCACTGTAATGGCTAGTTTAAAGCACTGTGATGGCTAGTTTAAAGCACTGTGATGGCTAGTTTAAAGCACTGTGATGGCTAGTTTAAAGCACTGTGATTGCTAGTTTAGCATCTAGAAAAAGCTATAGTATCTATCCATCTATCTTTTAGTTATTGATTCATTATTACTTAAAGTGCTGTCGCTAGGTTCGTCAAGATCGGGAATGTCCCCTCTCTGTCTCCTCTGCTGACGATCTCTGTGTCTCCGCCGGTACTGGAACTCTGCATACTCCTGTAGGGACAACCACATAACACATGATGACGTCACAGGTCACAGGTCGTACGTCATAACGTACACACATATTGGGAGAATCTCAATTGCATTTCCTTGACTCCTCACATCCTCTCTATTCGGACCTCTGACATTCTCATCCAATGCAGTTAAAGGAGGTGAGGGATACACTGAATCCCAGAAAGACAAATTGAGATAGAGCCACATTCTCCAGACATCCACTGTCTGATAGTGATGCGCGGGTTGACTCATAACCCGCAGTCCCCGCGGTTATATCCGCGGGGCGGGTGGGTTGAGGGTCATGAAACATTGTGTGGATGAAGGCCGGGCGGGTGGGTGGCGGGTTGAATAAAGAGAAAACAATACCTTAAAAAATCCAAAAATGTATAATTCTTGTGCAATTTATATCTATAGGCTACACTGAGGTTTTTCTTTCATTATTTGAGGATATCTGGCATTAGTGCGTAAGCCTAAGCTTTAGGACCTAACTGTACGCGCACCAAATGCTTTTGGGAATGGGCAGAAAAAGTTAACATCGATCCACTGAGGCAAAAAGACAGCCTTCATGGTATCACAGCACTGTCTGAACCCCTGGCAGACAGCCATCATGGTATCATAGCACTGTCTGAAGCCCTGGCAGACAGCCATCATGGTATCACAGCACTGTCTGAACCCCTGGCAGACAGCCATCATGGTATCACAGCACTGTCTGAACCCCTGGCAGACAGCCATCATGGTATCACAGCACTGTCTGAACCCCTGACAGACAGCCATCATGATATCACAGCACTGCCTGAACCCCTGGCAGACAACCATCATGGTATCACAGCACTGTCTGAGCCCCTGGCAGACAACCATCATGGTATCACAGCACTGTCTGAACCCCTGGCAGACAGCCATCATGGTATCACAGCACTGTCTGAACCCCTAGCAGACAGCCATCATGGTATCACAGCACTGTCTGAACCCCTGGCAGACAACCATCATGGTATCACAGCACTGTCTGAACCCCTGGCAGACAGCCATCATGGTATCACAGCACTGTCTGAACCCCTAGCAGACAGCCATCATGGTATCACAGCACTGTCTGAACCCCTGGCAGACAGCCATCATGGTATCACAGCACTGTCTGAACCCCTGGCAGACAGCCATCATGGTATCATAGCATACAGAGTTTGGGACCATTCCATATCAGTTCCCGCCAGTTGAATCGGACATGGAATTTCTCCAAAATAATTCCATTAAATTCCTTAATGGTTCTGGGAATCAAAATGGAACTGACCCTATACCAAACCACCATGATGCTCTGAGGAGGATGGCAGGACAGTGAAAGTAATGGGTCAGCATAATGGCTCAATAACATCTCTATATATTCATCATCATGACAGCTAACAGACTGCACGTTCTCAATGGTAGGCATTTTAGCTATGTGAAAATATAACGTTTTATCGTATTAGAAATGTTGATTGTTTGCTTTAAATGCCAGGATGTTATATACATTTCAGCTTTTCATCTAGTAAAATTCTCTGCACACTTTAGAGAAAGAGAATGTCTGACAACAGCTGACAATCAGCTGATAAAGGGGAGGCTCTGTGCCCAAATGAACCAATGGCAGGAATCAACGCAAATGCACATTAGATGACGCATTCTCAGGATGGATTAGCCTAGTATGTTGATATGTCTTGCTTACTGCAGTCGTTTTTACTAAACAGTACGTTCTAAATAGTATGTAGTATGATTAGTACACAGCATGCAGTTTTAGTAAGTAGTAGGCAAGACAACTTGTATCTGAAATGGCACCCTATTCCCTATATAGTGCACTATGCCTCATAGGATATTCCATCACGTACTCCTTCTAAGATCAGCACCAGTGGCCCCCAAGCTGTCTTGGCACACAGACCTTCTGGCACCCACCACTGACAGAAATAATTACATGGAATGTCCTCATCCACCCAATCCTCATGCAGCTCATAAGATCAAAGACATTAACAAATACTGTATAAAAAGACGGCATATCAAACACCCTCTCAGATTTCATGCCTTCAGATTTCACATCTCCAAAGCATTTTAACTAGAGGGGAGTCAGTCATCTATTTTTAAATTGTTCATACAGAGGTTGTATGTATGCACGGTTTAACAAAAAGAAAAGCCAAAACATGCCGGTAGCAAGTATTGTTATGATACAGAGATGACGGCATTACAGACGTAAGGCATTGTCAATCCATTCCAGGGAAAATGTAAGCTTCATTAACTACAAGGAGGAACAGAAGAGATGAGTGAATCTGTAGAGGGACGCATCTTCATCTTATATGCAATGTTCCAATACTGATGACTTATGGGTATCCTGGGGGAAAGAGGAGGAGGAAGATGATGAAGAGGAGGAGGAAGATGAGGAGGAGGAGGAGGAAGTTGAGGAGGAGGAAGATGAAGATGAGGAGGAGGAAGATGAAGAAGAGGAGGAGGAAGAGGAAGATGAGGAAGATGAGAGAGGAGAGGAGAGGAGATGAGGAGGAGGAGAGGAGGAAGGGGGGGGGGGTCGATCCAAGCGAATATGGCATCCAGAGTAGAAGGAGATGTTCTGCCCTGACTATTAAAGAGACAGACGAGACCCATCTACATTTTACATTTTAGTCATTTAGCAGACTTACAGTTAGTGAGTGCATTAATTTTTTCATACTGGCCCCCCGTGGGAAACGAACCCACAACCCTGGCAAACATGGACAGACAGAATAGACCCATCTACTGTATAACATGGTCAGACAGAATAGCCCCATCTACTGTATAACATGGTCAGACAGAATAGACCCATCTACTGTACAACATGGTCAGACAGAATAGACCCATCTACTGTATAACATGGTCAGACAGAATATACCCATCTACTGTATAACATGGTCAGACAGAATAGACCCATCTACTGTATAACATGGTCAGACAGAATATACCCATCTACTGTAGTATTGCTGCTGCTTGTGTTAATAATGAATGCTCTCCAATCATTCTGTCACAAATTCACATTCGTGTCAGTATCATTTATGTTACTATTCTAAAAACACAAGTAACTGAATCTGATCTGCAGGCTTCTCTGAATGATACTTGTGTCTTCAGTAGTAGTAAGTTATACCTGCTGCAGGCTTCCTGTATTAAGACAGTTCTCTGTGCTCTGATCATTCCCTGATCCTCCCAGTACTGAGAGGTTCCTCAGGGAGATCTTAATGGAACAGACCTTCCAGCAGATCATTAAATAATGTATATATACTGCATCTCTCAATACCTTCTCTATACTTCCCAGCATATCTATACCTTCTAGCTGGAACACTGTTGTTATTAAACCATATGCAACATTTAACCAACTGGAAACTTATTCTAATAGTCACATGATGTATTAAGTAGCTCTATTAACTTTCTAATAGTCACATGATGTATTAAGTAGCTCTATTAACTTTCTAATAGTCACATGATGTATTAAGTAGCTCTATTAACTTTCTAATAGTCACATGATGTATTAAGTAGCTCTATTAACTTTCTAATAGTCACTCACATACTGATTAACTAGACATTCACAGAGGTCGTTGACATTTAGCTAGATATTCATACCTACAACAGTTAGTTAACTAGATATTTACTTACCTCAGGAGATGCAAAGCCCAAATACTCCCAGTCCCACGTTCCACCTCCAAAACTGGAAATACAAAAAGTACAACTGTAATAGCAGTTATTCTGTTACGTTTTTTAAAAACACTTCAATTAGTGGAGAGAGAACAGAACACAGCAACTGCACAAGAAAACATGCTGAGTGAACCCACAGTGGGGGTGACCTTGATCTGCAATTGATTGAATTGGGGACTAAAAGAGTTTGTGAGGGGTCAGGGGTTAATGTAAGGGTTGTGGGGGGGGGGGGGGGGGGGGCCAGGGGTTCCCACCTGCGTCTAGGGGCCTCTGGGGAGTCGCTGGGGGCCACCCCGCGGGCGACGGAGGCCAGGAACTCCTGTCTCTTCTGCTGCACCAAACAGGCAGCTCGGATGATCTTATGGCGCGGAGTTCGGAGGTAAGGCCGGTTTACTTTCTGAGCTAGGTCCTCGGTCACCATCTCCAAGTCAGTCTACACACAGACAGGAAGAGGCAAGTCAAAAAGGCTACAAACTGTAGAGGGAAAAGTATTTTGTACAATCTCTCTTAGCTGTATAGTTTTTACGGCCAGCCGTGTGAGAAAGTCATATTAACGAAGAGCGTAAAAAGGGTTCCTCACAACAACACCTGTTCTTTTTTTAAACCTCAGTGTTTGAGAGGAAGTAGGTTTAAAACCGCAGTGTTTGAGAGGAAGTAGGTTTAAAACCTCAGTGTTTGAGAGGAAGTAGGTTTAAAACCTCAGTGTTTGAGAGGAAGTAGGTTTAAAACCTCAGTGTTTCAGAGGAAGTAGGTTTAAAACCTCAGTGTTTCAGAGGAAGTAGGTTTAAAACCTCAGTGTTTGAGAGGAAGTACGTTTAAAACCTCAGTGTTTGAGAGGAAGTACGTTTAAAACCTCAGTGTTTGAGAGGAAGTAGGTTTTTGACCAAACATTTCAAATGTTCTTTATGATTGGTGTGAACTGTGAAGTGAACCACCTTCCTTTCTCTAAGATCCGTTCCTACCTGCATAAGTTCAAAAATCTCTTTCTTGGTGGATTTGGTCTCCAGGAAGAAGCCGTAGGGGTAAGAGCACTTGAGTATGCGGCGCGTTTTCAGAAGCTCCAGAACCGCATCTTCAATGAACGTAGTGTCAGGTGGGCCTCCTTCTCCTGAGAGATTAATATGCAATATGATTCCTCTCTCACACACACCGACTCATCATATCACATTCAGAAATGTGATAGATTTAAGTATTTTAGAGCGTAATTAAAAACATCTCCACTGTAAGATTGCAGTCTGTGTGTTGGTCTATTTACAGTGGGGGAAAAAAAGTATTTAGTCAGCCACCAATTGTGCAAGTTCTCCGACTTAAAAAGATGAGAGAGGCCTGTAATTTTCATCATAGGTACACGTCAACTATGACAGACAAATTGAGATTTTTTTCTCTCCAGAAAATCACATTGTAGGATTTTTAATGAATTTATTAGCAAATTATGGTGGAAAATAAGTATTTGGTCACCTACAAACATGCAAGACTTCTGGCTCTCACAGACCTGTAACTTCTTCTTTAAGAGGCTCCTCTGTCCTCCACTCGTTACTTGTATTAATGGCACCTGTTTGAACTTGTTATCAGTATAAAAGACACCTGTCCACAACCTCAAACAGTCACACTCCAAACTCCACTATGGCCAAGACCAAAGAGCTGTCAAAGGACACCAGAAAAAAAATTGTAGACCTGCACCAGGCTGGGAAGACTGAATCTGCAATAGGTAAGCAGCTTGGTTTGAAGAAATCAACTGTGGGAGCAATTATTAGGAAATGGAAGACATACAAGACCACTGATAATCTCCCTCGATCTGGGGCTCCATGCAAGATCTCACCCCGTGGGGTCAAAATGATCACAAGAACGGTGAGCAAAAATCCCAGAACCACATGGGGGGACCTAGTGAATGACCTGCAGAGAGCTGGGACCAAAGTAACAAAGCCTACCATCAGTAACACACTACGCCGCCAGGGACTCAAATCCTGCAGTGCCAGACGTGTCCCCCTGCTTAAGCCAGTACATGTCCAGGCCCGTCTGAAGTTTGCTAGAGTGCATTTGGATGATCCAGAAGAGGATTGGGAGAATATCATATGGTCAGATGAAACCAAAATAGAACTTTTTGGTAAAAACTCAACTCGTCGTGTTTGGAGGACAAAGAATGCTGAGTTGCATCCAAAGAACACCATACCTACTGTGAAGCATGGGGGTGGGAACATCATGCTTTGGGGCTGTTTTTTCTGCAAAGGGACCAGGACGACTGATCCGTGTAAAGGAAAGAATGAATGGGGCCATGTATCGTGAGATTTTGAGTGAAAACCTCCTTCCATCAGCAAGGGCATTGAAGATGAAACGTGGCTGGGTCTTTCAGCATGACAATGATCCCAAACACACCGCCCGGGCAACGAAGGAGTGGCTTCGTAAGAAGCATTTCAAGGTCCTGGAGTGGCCTAGCCAGTCTCCAGATCTCAACCCCATAGAAAATCTTTGGAGGGAGTTGAAAGTCTGTGTTGCCCAGTGACAGCCCCAAAACATCACTGCTCTAGAGGAGATCTGCATGGAGGAATGGGCCAAAACACCAGCAACAGTGTGTGAAAACCTTGTGAAGACTTACAGAAAACGTTTGACCTGTGTCATTGCCAACAAAGGGTATATAACAAAGTATTGAGAAACTTTTGTTATTGACCAAATACTTATTTTCCACCATTATTTGCAAATAAATTCATAAAAAATCCTACAATATGATTTTCTGGGAAAAAAAATCTCATTTTGTCTGTCATAGTTGACGTGTACCTATGATGAAAATTACAGGCCTCTCTCATCTTTTTAAGTGGGAGAACTTGCACAATTGGTGGCTGACTAAATACTTTTTTTCCCCACTGTATGTGAAATGGCTATCTGCAAACAACTGAACAAAACATTGAAACGAGGAATATCCACATACTTCCACTCAAGGCCCTGCTCAGCTGTTCCATCTTGTCTTTGGCTGTCTTCAGTAGACGCTGCTCCAGCTAGATAGAAGAACAGACAAGGTAACGTCCCACTACAGGACGTACTGATGCTACAAGACAGTTAAACAAACCCAGCTCTGCCCTACTTACCTGGACAGAGCTGGTATCAGGCTACACCAGGACTTACTAATACAAACTGATAGGAGTTACACAAACGCACCGTGGGCCCTTTTACCTGGTAGCTGTGTTCATGGTTCTTGAAGTGGTCCAGTTCTTACCTGGTTACTGTGTTCATGGTTCCTGAAGTGGTCCAGTTCTTACCTGGTAGCTGTGTTCATGGTTCTTGAAGTGGTCCAGTTCTTACCTGGTTACTGTGTTCATGGTTCCTGAAGTGGTCCAGTTCTTACCTGGTAGCTGTGTTCATGGTTCTTGAAGTGGTCCAGTTCTTACCTGGTAACTGTGTTCATGGTACCTGAAGTGGTACAGTTCTTACCTGGTAGCTGTGTTCATGGTTCTTGAAGTGGTCCAGTTCTTACCTGGTAGCTGTGTTCATGGTTCTTGAAGTGGTCCAGTTCTTACCTGGTAGCTGTGTTCATGGTTCTTGAAGCGGGTGTAGTAGTGCATAAAGCGGTCCAGTTCCTGGAAGCTGTTGTGTTTCTTCTCAGCCTGCAATGACAAGAAGACAAGACAGTGAGTGTTACCGCTAGTCTCTAAACTCAGTGTCCTGATAGTTCCCTGTCAGACAGTGAGTGTTACCTCTAGTCCAGGGTTGGGCAAACTACGGCCCGCGAGCCCTTTTAATCCGGCCCGCGTGAGGTTTGAGTTAAAAAAATATGGTTAAAAAAACACTCCACCCCACTATCTAAAACTAGATAGAAGGTATGAAGAAATTATAATGGACCTATACATTTTCAAATAACTGCCCTATTTCTGGCCCGCAAATTGATTTAGAAAACAAAAATCGGTCAAAAAAGAAACTGTGAGCCCTCCGTTGAAATTCTAAATCCCGATGTGGCCCTCCAGAAAAAACGTTTCCCCAGCCCTGCTCTAGTCTCTAGACTCACAGTGCGTTCCAAATGGCACCCTATTCCCTATATAGTGCACTACTTTTAACCAGAGCCCTATGGGGATAGGTGACAGGGCGTCAATTCATCCAGCCACAGTGTGCTCTGATGTGTACCTGCCAGCAATGACAAAACACTGATTCTTATTGCCTCCAGTCTCTCATCTCTCCCTGGCAGGGCAGGGCTGGTCTTGGTGAGTGGAGTACAGGAATATAGCACAGGATAAAGGTGTACTGCAGAAGTACATTAACAACATGTTGATGACCCTCTGGTCATCTGTGATGGAGGTGGACTGTGACTGAGTTTCTCTCTGAAGCAAGCAAGCAGGGTGTGTGTGTGCGTGTGGTGTGTGTGTGCGTGTGGTGTGTGGTGTGTGTGTTTGTGTGTGTGTGTGTGTGTCTGTGTGTGTGTGTGTGTGGTGTCTGTGTGCGTGTTTTGTGTCCTGGATGTGTGTCTGTGTGTGTGTGTGCTGTATGTACTGTATGTATGTTGTCTGTACTGTTGTCTGTCTGTGTGGTTGTGTGGTGTGTATGTATTGCATGGTATGTGTTGTGTGTTGATGTTGTGTGTCTATGTATGATGTGTGTGTGTGTGTGTAGTGTGGTGTGTGTGTCTGTGTGTCTGTCTGTGTGTGTGTGTCTATGTGTGTGTTGTGTGTATGGTGTGTGTGTTGTCTGAGTGTGGTGTTGTGTGTGTGTGTGTGTGTGTGTGTGTTGTGTGTGTGTTTTGTGGTCTGTGGGTCGTCTGTGTGTGTGTGTTGTGTGTGTTTGTGTGTGGTGTGTGTCTGTGTGTGTATGTGTGTGTGTGTGTGTCTGTGGTGTGTGTGTGGGTGTGTGGTGTGTGTGTGTGTGTGTGTGTGTGTGTGTGTGGTGTGTTGTGTGGTGTGGTGTTGTGTCTGTGTGTGTGTGTGTTTGGTGTGTGTGTTGTGTGGTGTTTGTGTGTGTGTTGTGTTGTGTGTGTGTGTGTGTGTGTGGTGTTGTGTGTGTTGTATGTTGTTGTTTGTATGTATGTGTTGTTGTTGTGGTGTGTTGTCTGTTGTTGTGTGTGTTGTGTGATGTGGTGTGTTTGGTGTGTTTGTTGGTGTTGTGTTGTGTTGTGTGTTGGTGGTGTGTGGGGTGGTGGTTGTGTGTGTTGTGTGTGTGTGTGGTTGTGTGTGTTGTGTGTTGTTGTGTGTGTTGTGTGTGTGTGTGGTGTGTGTGTGTGTGTTGTGTGTGTGTGTATGTGTGTGTTGTGTGTATTGTGTGTGTGTGTTGTATGCTGTGTGTGTGTGATGTGAGTTGTGTGGTGTGGTTGTCTGTGTGGTGTGTTGTGTCTGTCTGTGTGTGTTGTGGTGTGTGTGTGTGTGTGTGTGTGTTTGTGTCTGTATGTGTGTCTGTGTGTCTGTGTGTGTGTGGTTGTGTGTTTTTGTGTGTGTTTGTGTCTGTATGTGTGTTCTGTGTGGTTGTGTGTCGTGTGTGTGTGTCTGTTGTGTGTGTGTCTATGTGTGTGTGTATCTGTCTGTGTGTGTATGTATGTATGTATGTCTGTGTGTAGTCTGTGTGTGTCTAGGTCCTGTGTGTGGTGTGTCTGTGTCTGTCTTTGTGTGTGTGTGTGTGTCTGTGTGTGTGTGTGTCTGTGTCTGTGTTTTGTCTGTGTGTGTGTCTGCATGTGTTTCTGCATGTTGTGTCGCGTGTGTGTCTGCGGGTGTGTCCGCCTGGCGTCTGTCTGCGAGTCTGTCCGGTCGGCCGTGTCTGTCTGTCTGTCTGTCTGTCTGTTCTCTGTGTGTGTGTGTGTGTGTGTGTGGTGTGTACTCCACCTCCACAGTCATGTCTTTCTTCTGCTCCTCCACCTGGTTGATGACCTCATAGCGGGTACAGCGGTAGTAGCCTCCCGTAGACGAGCTGTGTTTCTTCCATTCCTCCAGACAGATCCAGCAGAAGTCATACTTACACTGCAGGGAGGAAGAGAGGGGAGAGGAGGTAGTCAGTCAGCAGCAGGAAATACCAAGGCCCTAACCTCTGCATGACTAAAGGTCGTCAGTCAGAAGCAGGAAATACCAAGGCCCTAACCTCTGCATGGCTAAAGGTAGTCAGTCAGCAGCAGGAAATACCAAGGCCCTAACCTCTGCATGGCTAAAGGTAGTCAGTCAGCAGCAGGAAATACCAAGGCCCTAACCTCTGCATGGCTAAAGCTAGTCAGTCAGCAGCAGGAAATACCAAGGCCCTAACCTCTGCATGGCTAAAGGTAGTCAGTCAGCAGCAGGAAATACCAAGGCCCTAACCTCTGCATGGCTAAAGGTAGTCAGTCAGTAGCAGGAAATACCAAGGCCCTAACCTCTGCATGGCTAAAGGTAGTCAGTCAGTAGCAGGAAATACCAAGGCCCTAACCTCTGCATGGCTAAAGGTAGTCAGTCAGTAGCAGGAAATACCAAGGCCCTAACCTCTGCATGGCTAAAGGTAGTCAGTCAGTAGCAGGAAATACCAAGGCCCTAACCTCTGCATGGCTAAATGTAGTCAGTCAGCAGCAGGAAATACCAATGCCCTAACCTCTGCATGACTAAAGGTAGTTAGTCGGTAGAAGGAAATACCATGGCCCTAACCTCTGCATGACTAAAGGTAGTCAGTCAGCAGCAGGAAATACCAAGGCCCTAACCTCTGCATTACTAAAGGTAGTCAGTCAGCAGCAGGAAATACCAAGGCCCTAACCTCTGCATGGCTAAAGCCAGGGACTCATATGGGAGCCGGCCAAAGATGGTCTGTGGCTGAGTAGCTGGCCTGAATCTAAGAGGGGCTGGAACGCGGACTCAACAAGAGTTTCCCCCTGTGGCTTAAAACTAATCAATGGTCTCTATGTGTTCTTTGATCTGCCACCAGGAGTCACTCCATCCGTTTACACACTGCATCCAGATCTATCCCTCTGGGTCTATCCAACTAGAGTTAAAACCACCAAACACTACTACCTTTCCACATGATTTACAATCCTATTCAGCCCTAGGTGATTCCCACTAGAAACACTGCTTTGCTGTCTGCTAAAACACAAAGCCATCAGCTGAAACCACTGTTGTCCTGAGGAGACAGGACTTCAATGACACTCAAGATAATCTATAGTATATAGTGACAGAGGGAGGAGGAGCGAGCGAGCGAGAGAGCGCCCTACAACATCATGTAGTACAACAGGCCTGTCACCACAGCCCTACAACATCATGCAGTACAACAGGCCTGTCACTACAGCCCTCAGGCTAGTACAGAGCTGACGACAGTCCCCAAGGCCCGTGTCTCTCTACTCTCAACATACCTATTCATCTCCTTCAGCCACAGATGAGCAGCACTGGTGGACGTGACACAGGGCTAGTGACACATCTCTTCTCTCCTTTCTGGTTGTGTTGAACGTGAGACATGTTTTAATGGCTGTTGGAGACATGCTTCTCATACAGCGGTGGTCATCAGTGTCATGGCGGGTATATCATTAACAACTAACTTATTCAATCATTAAAATGGGCCTGAATTAAAATGGATTGAGAAAGGAAAAAACAACAAATCACTACAAAGATACAGGCGTCCTTCCTAACTCAGTTGCCGGAGAGGAAAGAAACCCCTCAGGGATTTCACCATGAGGCCAATGGTGACTTCAAAACAGTTAGAGAGTTCAATGGCTGTGATAGGAAAAAACTCAGGATGGATCAACAACATTGTAGTTACTCCACAATACTAACCTAAATGACAGAGTGAAAAGAAGGAAGCCTGTACAGAATAAAAATATTCCAAAACATGCCTCCTGTTTGCATTAAGGCACTAAAGTAAAACTGCAAAAATGTGGCAAAGAAATGACCTTTATGTCCTGAATAGAAAGTGTTATATTTGGGGCAAATCCAACACAACACATCACTGACTGGTGGCTGCATCATGTTATGGGTATGCTTGTCAACGGCTCAGCACAGGCAAAATCCTAGAGGAAAACCTGGTTCAGTCTGCTTTCCAACAGACACTGGGAGACAAATTCACCTTTCAGCATGACAATAACCTAAAACACAAGGCCATATCTACACTGGAGTTGCTTACTAAAATGTTCCTATTTGAAGAATCTCAAATATAAAATATATTTTGAATTGTTTAACACTTTTTTGGTTACTACATGATTCCATATGTGTTATTTCATAGTTTTGATGTCTTCACTATTATTCTACAATGTAGAAAATAGTAAAAATAAAGAAAAACCCTGGAATGAGTATGTGTGTCCAAACGTTTGACTGGTACTGTATGTAAATGAGATATTTCTGTATTTCATTTTCAATCAATTTGCAAATATTTCTAAAAACATATTTTCACGTTGTCATTAAGGGGTATTGTGTGTAGATGGGTGAGAAAAATATATATTTAATCCATTTTGAATTCAGGCTGTAACACAACAAAATGTGAAATAAGTCAAGAGGTATGAATGCTTTCTGAAGGCACTGTATATAAAGAGAAAGAGTTTCAGAGGGTTGAACATGATTAGACCCTTAGAGCTCCACACCATCACAGAGTTGCCCTACTTTCCCTGACCATAGCAAAACAGCATTTTCCAGATAACTCTAGGTCTCAAATACATTCTCTGGCGTATCTAACATTATAACATTCCTCAGTTTGATATCCTCCCAACTCTGATGACCTCCCAAATGGCACCCCATTCCCTATTTAGTGCACTTCTTCTGAACAGGGCCCACAGACTCTGGTCAAAAGTAGTGCACTATATAGGGAGTGAGGTGCCATTTGGGACACTATGGCCTACCTACCTTAGCACACTGCATGTGGTTGCAGCCTTCGTTCTTCTGAATAGGGGACTTGCAGTTGGCGCAGGGTTTGGCGTTTGTGAGTAACCACAAGCAGTTGGCTGCATCTTCATAGGCTTCACTCACACCAGCCACTTCCCAGAAAACAACAACACAACAGACCACTAACTGAACATGGCATATTCCACAGCTCAGGAGTCAGAGAGGAAAAAGTGGTAGTGTTCTTACAACCTACAGCGTGTGTGTGTGTTTGTTCTCTCTAATAGCCCATTCACGCTGACGGTAATCACTGCTTTTGAAACACTGCGCCTTTATTCTCTAGCCGCATCCCAAATGGCACCCTATTCCCTATATAGTGCACTACTTTAGACCAGGGCAAATAGGGGTTATGGTCAAAAGTAGTACACTATGTAGGGAATAGGGTGCCATTTGAGAAAATCACTGACTGAACAGAATGGAACCGTGACAGCTTTTAAAACCAGAACAAAAGCACATGGGGAGAATGGTTTAAAGCACAACAATAACTACTTTTATTCCTGCCTGAAACCTAGTGTTGTCTGTAGCTAGCATCTGAAACCTAGTGTTGTCTGTAGCTAGCATCTGAAACCTAGTGTTATCTGTAGCTAGCATCTGAAACCTAGTGTTGTCTGTAGCTAGCATCTGAAACCTAGTGTTATCTGTAGCTAGCATCTGAAACCTAGTGTTGTCTGTAGCTAGCATCTGAAACCTAGTGTTATCTGTTAGCTTAGCATCTGAACTATGTTATCGGCTAGCAATTCTGCTTAACCTAGCTGTTATCTGTAGCTAGCATCATGCAACCTCGTGTTCTCTGTAGATAGTATCGGAACAACCTAGTGTTTGGTCTGTAGATAGCATCTGAAACCTAGTGTTATCTGTAGCTAGCATCTGAAACCTAGTGTTGTCTTATGGATAGCAGCTCTAAACCTTAGTGTTATTCTGTAGCTAGCATCTGAAACCTAGTGTTGTCTGTAGCAAGATCTGAAACCTAGTTGTCTGTGTAGCATATGAAACCTAGTGTGGCTTGTCGCTGCATCTGATTGAAAACCTAAGTGTTATCTGTAGCTAGCATCTGAAACCTAGTGTTGTCTGTAGCTAGCATCTGAAGTGGTGATGTGAGCAGGACTGAGTCCCAAATTGCGCCCTATTCACTATATAGGCTCTGGTAGTAGTGCTCTATATAGGGAATAGGGGTGGTGTTTGAGACACAGACAAGGACTTGAGTCCGTGAACTGAACGGTCCATCAATGGATGCTAGATATCAAGCCTAGCAGCACTGACCTGATACAGCTGCATTTGTTTTGAGTTTATTTGATATCTGTTAAGGCAGCGTGTTCATATCATCACACAGAAACAAACATTTGGGCTTTTGGCTCCCTCAGTAGTAAGCGGTTTGGGTGACTAAACTGCTCTCATAAATATTTCTGCTTCAGTCAAAAGGCACAGGTAGAATGTTGTAATGTGTAACTGCAGAAGGCCAGAAGCCACAGTGTGTGAAGGGGTATCAACAGTCTTCAGAGGTGAAAGAGAATGAGACGCACAACAACAACAGATTAAGAAGTATACTGGTTTTCTTTAGAAAACGAATATATTAATAGTAGAGGTGCTTACATTCTTGGGGTCTCATCTCAGTAACTTTAGCCAGCCACATCTTCCATGTCTGGCAGTCACATGGTTCATGGGCTTCTCCCTGGCACTCCCTGGAGACAGACAGACAGACATGGTGTTGGTTTACCCCACTTATGATAACACTTCAGACAGACAGACAGACACAGACAGTAGAGTTTACCCTCCAGACACGTCATACTCCTTATACCACTTGTCTATAAATGTTCTGTCTGGGAACACAACCCATGCATTACTCAGATACCACAGACATGAAAGTAGCAGACCATAGAATGCAGTATGGAACATCTTTGTGTTCTAAGAAGATAAGAGAACAGTTACTTCTTCTACCACTAATCTAAGTGATGCATGTGTTTACAAACAGACAATGAATAGACAGGATAGAATGCAGAATCAAAATGCTTTGAGATCCCTAGCTCTATTCAACTCATCGTCAAACATATCACTGGGGTTGGGTGTGTGGGGGTGGGGCTGGGGGTGTGTGGGGGTGGGGCTGGGGGTGTGGGGGTGGGGCTGGGGGGGTGCGCCCCGTTGGGTCCCCTGGACCAGGATTGAGAAACACTGCCTTTGAACAATGTAAAAATGTCCTTGACCTTGAATGTACCCGACCCATCTAAATGTATGTAATTGTATGAAGTAATCTGAAATTCTAAATCATGAAATGTGTAATAACTTGAAATACATATACAAATGTTTTACCTGAATAAATATATACAGGTGACTGGCAAAATAAAGAAAAGACTTGAGTAAATGAGGGATACAAAGTATATTGAAAGCAGGTGCTTCCACATCATGTTAGGGTCATGTATAAAAATGCCCAGTTGCCCCTTATTTTGACTACCATGGCTAGAAGAGATCTCAGTGACTTTGAAAGAGGGGTCTCGAAGGAGCATGGGGTGCTTAAAGGGTGTGTGTGTGTGTGTGTGTGTGTGTGTGTGTGTGTGTGTGTGTGTGTGTGTGTGTGTGTGTGTGTGTGTATGTGTGTATGTGTGTGACACCAGATCTCAACCCAATTGAACACTTATGGGAGATTCTGGAGCGGCGCCTGAAACAGCATTTTCCACCACCATCAACCAAATGATGGAATTTCTCGTGGAAGAACGGTGTCGCATCCCTCCAATAGAGTTCCAGACAGTTGTAGAATCTATGCCAAGGTGCATTGAAGCTGTTCTGGTGGCTCGTGGTGGCCCAACGCTCTCTTAAGACACTTTATGTTGGTGTTTCCTTTATTTTATAATAATAATATAATATAATAAATAATAATATAATATAACAATAATATAATATGCCATTTAGCAGACGCTTTTATCCAAAGCGACTTACAGTCATGCGTGCATACATTTTTACGTATGGGTGGTCCCGGGGATCGAACCCACTACCCTGGCGTTACAAGCGCCGTGCTCTACCAGTTGAGCTACAGAGGACCACATTTTGGCAGTTACCTGTATATATATATTTTTAAAATGCTATGTGTTTGATAACACTGATGTTCCCCAGCAGAACTGCATTATAAGGGACAAGAACATTACTTTATAATTGTCTGGGTGATGGCTGAAAGCAGCAGTGTTTTTCACTGGTGGAGGAGGAGAGGGCATTGATGCGTGAGGATGTATTGGGAGGGTCATGGCATCACTGGGAACCTGGGGATATGTTGAGCAGGGCCAGGGCTGGGCCATGGTTGTGTTGGTCGGTAGGCTTGGGATGTATACAATATATACCATATACCGGGGTATTCGGAAATAGCCACGGGATGCTTTTTCAATACCGTTGAAACTAAACGTTTATATTTGCAGCTACTTTTTAAGTAAATCCCTGCAGTCAACTTGTGCAATACGTTAGGATATACAGCAGATCGCGTTCTTCATTTCACCCGTCACATTATTTTACATTATGAATCTTACCGTTGTTCCCCAGAACAGTTGAGCCAGTCTCGTGTTTGTTTGTAAATAGCACAACAGGAGAAAGCGGGAGCAGGTGAGTCCAGCTGTGTATTGACAGGGATCGTATTTTATATTGAAAGTCAACAGTGTATTTTTGCTTCAATAGAGTGATCAGGGACGTGCAACGCTATTTGAGTGGCAACCACACAAGTAAATGACCTTACAATGAAAAATAAAAGTATTTTTATTGTAAAACTATGCATAGCCATCATATTTCTAATATTTATCATAGAAAGAATGTAGCCAGCTACATTTCCTAATGTTTTGCTTAAAGTTAATCTTGCATTTTACCACAGAAAAGTAAGCTGGCTACACGGAGAGGCTGTCTGCTGATAGAAGGCCAGTTTGTGTGAATTCTCATCCGAGTGGAGAAGTGCAATTGAAGCGCAACAGTCTGTTGCTGAGCAGAAATTACAATAAGAAGCATTTTACATCTGCGTTTCCAAAACTCAACAAGACATTTCTTATGCGTTTTATCTATTTTTCCTGCATGAAAAACAAAGAATTCTGCATTAACGCGACCCCTAGATTTGACTTGCTAGTTATCTAAGTAAGTGGCTGAATTAATAAGGCATCATATTGTGTTCGCTTTCTGCCGTGTTTAAGATGTCAAAGCCCTTTGGATGAGTTATCTGTACAGCTGCCACTGCTATCTTTTGATTTCCTTGCATTTTTTTCTCTTCTCCGTTCTCGGCCCGTCTGCTCCTCCCCCGTCTTCTCCAAGCAGGCCCATTGCCCTAGTGACCAAAATCGAACTCCTGTTGCAAATATTAGTTTAGTTCACTAATAATAAGGCTTGTGTCGACATGCCCGGACATGCATGCAATAAGCTAGCTAGCTAGCTAAGCAGATATAGTAGCTATGTGACCTGTTAGCAAAGATTATGATAACTAACCCTTTCATCTGTGGTGTTATCTAGCTAGCTATATTAGCTACCATCAAAGATTATGATAACTAACCCTTTCCTCTGGGGTGTTATCTAGCTAGCTATATTAGCAACTACCAAATATTATGATATCTAACCCTTTCATCTGTGGTGTTATCTAGCTAGCTATATAAGCTACTATCAAAGATTATGATATCTAACCCTTTCATCTGTGGTGTTATCTAGCTAGCTATATAAGCTACTATGCTAGCTAGCTGGCTAGATAAACATGTTGCTAAGATATCAGATAGGACAGGGCTCTCCAACCCTGGTCCTGGAGTGCTACCCTCCTGTAGGTTTTCAATTCAACCCCAGTTGTAACTTTCCTGATTCAACTTAATCCTGGACTATCGGACCACCATCTTATTACGTTTGCAATCGCAACAAATAATTTGCTTTGACCCCAACCAAGGATTATCAAAAGCTGCGCTATAAATTCTCAGACAACCAAAAGATTCCTAGATGCCCTTCCACACTCCCTCCACCTACCCAAGGACGTCGGAGTACAAAAATCAGTTAACCACCTAACCAAGGATCTAAACGTAACCTTGCGTAAAATCCTGGATGCAGTTGCACCACTAAAAACAAAAAACGTGTCACAAGAAACCAGCTCCCTTGTATACAGAAAATACCAGAGCCCTGAAGCAAGCTTCCAGAAAATTGGAACGGAAATGGCACTCCACCAAATTGGAAGTCTTCCGACTAGCTTGGAAAGATACCATGCAATATCCTTACTGCTGCCAGATCAGCCTACTTTTCCAACCTGATTGAGGAGAATACAAACAATCCTAAATGTATTTTTGATACTGGCTTCCTGTTAAGGCTAGGGCTGATTTCAAGGTTTTACTGCTAACCTACAAAGTATTACATGGACTTGCTCCTATCCATCTCTCTGATTTGGTCCTGCCGTACATACCTACACCTACGCTACGGTCACAAGATGCAGGCCTCTTTATTGTTCCTAGAATTTCTAAGCAAACAGCTGGAGGCAGGGCTTTCTCCTATAGAGCTACATGTTTATGAAATGGTATGCCTATCCATGTGAGAAACGCAGACTCGGTCACAAGTCTTTACTGAAGACTCATCTCTTCAGTAGGTGCTATGATTGAGTGTAGTGTTGCCCAGGGGTGTGAAGGTCAACGGCAAGGCACTGGAGTGACGAACCACCCTTGCTGTCTCTGCCTGGCCAGTTCCCCTCTCTCCACTTGGATTATCTCCCTCTGACCCTATTACGGGGGCTGAGTCACTGGATTGCTCAAGCTCTCCCATCCTTTCTGTCCTTGGGCACGTGCGGTTGGGGAGATCTTCGTAGGCTATAATCGGCCTCGTCTCAAATCAAATCAAATCTTATTCGTCACATGAGCAGAATACAACAGGTGTAGACCTTACCGTGAAATGCTTACTTACAAGCCCTTAACCAACAATGCAGTTGAAGAAATAGAGTTAAGAAAATATTGACTAAATAAAATAAAGTAAAAAATAAAATAAAAAGTAACACAATAAAATAACAATAACGAGGCTATATACAGGGGGTACCGATACCGAGTCAATGTGCGGGGGTACAGGTTAGTCGAGGTAGTTTGAACATGTAGGTAGGCTTAAAGTGACTATGCATAGATAATAAACAGCGAGTGGCAGAAGTGTAAAAACAAAGGGGGGGGGGGTTCCGGGTGGCCATTTGATTAATTGTTCAGCAGTCTTATGGTTTGGGGGTAGAAGCTGTTAAGGAGCCTTTTGGTCATAGACTTGGCGCTCCGGTACCGCTTGCCGTGCGGTAGCAAAGAGAACAGTCTATGACTAGGGTGGCTGGAGTCTTTGACAGGGTAGTAAGTTAGTGGCCTGTTGATATCCCTTTAGTTGTGTGGGGGCTGTGCTTGACAAAGTGGGTGGGGTTATATCCTGCCTGGTTGGCCCTGTCCGGGGATAACTTTGTCTACCTTGCTACCTTGTCCCGGATCTACTGTCTAGACTATCCCCTATCACCCTCTCTCTTGACCCTCCCCGCACATGCTGTCTTGACCTCTGAACCCTCGGCTGTGAAAAGCCAACTGACATTTACTCCCAAGGAGCTGAACTGTTGCACCCTCTATAACCATTGTGACTATTATTTGACCCTGCTGGTCATCTATGAACGTTTGAACATCTTGAAGAACGATCTGGCCAGAATGGCCTGTACTCTTATAATCGCCACCCGGCACAGCCAGAAGAGGACTGGCCACCCCTCAGAGCCTGGTTCCTCTAGGTTTCTTCCTAGGTTCCTGCCTTTCTAGGGAGTTTTTCCTAGCCACCGTGCTTCTACATCTGCATTGCTTGCTGTTTGAGGTTTTTGGCTGGGTTTCTGTATAAGCACTTTCTGCCAATTGATGTTGTAAAAAGGGCTTTATAAATACTATGCCATCTTAATTTACCCAGTTTATCAAGAGATTTACCATTCAAATAACATTATTACCATTATGTTGTTATGTAGTTAGATTGGTAAAAACAAAGTCACATGTATTGTTTGTATTAATGCACACATGGCTTTTTCTGGGAAAGTTTGTCATTTTTCTATTTATTTATTTTATTTGATTTATTTTAGTCATTTAGCAGACGCTCTTATCCAGAGCGACTTACAGTTAGTGAGTGCATACATTATTAATTTTTTATACTGGCCTCCCGTGGGAATCGAACCTACAACCCTGGCGTTGCAAACACCATGCTCTACCCACTGAGCTACATCCCTGCCGGCCATTCCCTCCCCTACCCTGGACGACACTGGGCCAATTGTGCGCCACCCCATGGGTCTGGCATTCTAATTGAATGATATTGAATATCGGCCTAAAATATCGGCCATCTGCCTCCTTGACCCCCAAAAAATCCATATTGGTTCTCTACTATACAGTGGGGAGAACAAGTATTTGATACACTGCCGATTTTGCAGGTTTTCCTACTTACAAAGCATGTAGAGGTCTGTCATTTCTATCATAGGTACACTTCAACTGTGAGAGACGGAATCTAAAACAAAAATCCAGGAAATCACATTGTATGATTTTTAAGTAATTAATTTGCATTTTATTGCATGACATAAGTATTTGATACATCAGAAAAGCAGAACTTAATATTTGGTACAGAAACCTTTGTTTGCAATTACAGAGATCATACGTTTCCTGTAGATCTTGACCAGGTTTGCACACACTGCAGCAGGGATTTTGGCCCACTCCTCCATACAGACCTTCTCCAGATCCTTCAGGTTTCGGGGCTGTCGCTGGGCAATACGGACTTTCAGCTCCCTCCAAAGATTTTCTATTGGGTTCAGGTCTGGAGACTGGCTAGGCCACTCCAGGACCTTGTGATGCTTCTTACGGAGCCACTCCTTGGTTGCCCTGGCTGTGTGTTTCGAGTCGTTGTCATGCTGGAAGACCCAGCCACGACCCATCTTCAATGCTCTTACTGAGGGAAGGAGGTTGTTGGCCAAGATCTCGCGATACATGGCCCCATCCATCCTCCCCTCAATACGGTGCAGTCGTCCTGTCCCCTTTGCAGAAAAGCATCCCCAAAGAATGATGTTTCCACATCCATGCTTCACGGTTGGGATGGTGTTCTTGGGGTTGTACTCATCCTTCTTCTTCCTCCAAAACATGGCGAGTGGAGTTTAGACCAAAAAGCTCTATTTTTGTCTCATCAGACCACATGACCTTCTCCCATTCCTCCTCTGGATCATCCAGATGGTCATTGGCAAACTTCAGACGGGCCTGGACATGCGCTGGCTTGAGCAGGGGGACCTTGCGTGCACTGCAGGATTTTAATCCATGACGGCGTAGTGTGTTACTAATGGTTTTCTTTAAGACTGTGGTCCCAGCTCTCTTCAGGTCATTGACCAGGTCCTGCCGTGTAGTTCTGGGCTGATCCCTCACCTTCCTCATGATCATTGATGCCCCACGAGGTGAGATCTTGCATGGAGCGCCAGACCGAGGGTGATTGACCGTCATCTTGAACTTCTTCCATTTTCTAATAATTGCGCCAACAGTTGTTGCCTTCTCACCAAGCTGCTTGTCTATTGTCCTGTAGCCCATCCCAGCCTTGTGCAGGTCTACAATTTTATCCCTGATGTCCTTACACAGCTCTCTGGTCTTGGCCATTGTGGAGAGGTTGGAGTCTGTTTGATTGAGTGTGTGGACAGGTCTCTTTTATACAGGTAATGAGTTCAAACAGGTGCAGTTAATGTAGGTAATGAGTGGAGAACAGGAGGGCTTCTTAAAGAAAAACGAACAGGTCTGTGAGAGCCGGAATTCTTACTGGTTGGTAGGTGATCAAATACTTATGTCATGCAATAAAATGCAAATTAATTACTTAAAAATCATACAATGTGATTTTCTGGATTTTTGTTTTAGATTCCGTCTCTCACAGTTGAAGTGTACCTATGATAAATATTACAGACCTCTACATGCTTTGTAAGTAGGAAAACCTGCAAAATCGGCAGTGTATCAAATACTTGTTCTCCCCACTGTATATGTATAACTTTATGCGTCTTTGCAATTCGCTTATTTTCATTTGTGCTCATTAGCATGTTTCAGCTAGCAGCCTCCATTGAAATTCTTTACAAATTCGCTATTACTTGTGCTAATTTTGTTAGCATTCTGGTAATAGACGGCCCAATGGGCTTTTCTTTTTTGGCGCCCCCTTGTGTACTAAGTCGGTAATACCCTAAATCCCGGGATGCTAGAAGGACGGTATCACGATAAGAAAATCTGGATACGGCCCAACCCTGTTGGTAGGGACAGAAGGTAGAGCGCCAGAGGTGGTACCACTCTCTGCCTGCTCCCATGCCAGCCAGGCCCAGTACACAGAGACCAATATGAACACAGACTAGATGAGAATGTGTACACACACTTATAGCAATGGGGACGTATGCACACACAGTCACACACGCACATTCAAAAACCTCATGCAGAAAGAGACAATGGGATGCTGGAAACATGCAAGCACACATTATATTTCCTTAGCCAACTTCCTTAAGGGTTGATGGCCTGCTGAACCATGGCAAGCTGAACCAGGTGTGAAGAGAGTGGCATGTATACTAGGGATGGGACAAATTGACAATTTTCTTAACGTTTAAACATTTTCTGTTAAAATGATAAGAAAATATAAAATCCCACATCAATTCACAACACAGAATAATAGTCCTATTACTCCTGTATGACTGCTAGGGCCGGACAACAAAGTTATCTGCCGCAGTCATATACCCTTGAAAGCACCCTTGGTTATGGCATGTTTGTTTGTGTGGAAGGGTACATCTTCTCTGGAGACTGAACGGGCATTTTACTTGTCTGTTAAGGAATGCCGTTTCTGAAGCGGGACTAACGTCCATCACTAGGGGACCAGAACTGTCAATCAAATAATCTCGATCTGCCTGCGCGCAGACCACGCTCTCCTAAAAAGGTACTTTAAAATTTGTTAAATACCAAGACATTTAGCAGAAATAAAGGAGTCGATTCCTAGCGGAAGAAGTGTTGAGATTCAGTCATTTTGGAACGGAGGAGACTGATTAGCTGCCGTACTTCCGAGAACAGAAACACTTGCATCTTTCATTGTGAGCTAGCGAGGGACAGAGAGAGAGGGGAGGGCCACAGTACAGGTAGGTCTAATCCCTAACGTATACCTGTAGATTCTAATCCTATTCTCTGAGGAGAAACAGGTGAGTTGACATTAATAGCAGGAGAAGAACTACAGTGGTTAAATAAGTTATGCTAAGTATGTTATGGAATGTTGCAGGGCACCATAGCCTACATGAAAATAAAGTATTGACAGCAGAGACATTCTTTACATTTTAAAATGCAAATGTACAAATGTATATTTATGCCAGTATCTGTATGTTCTCCCTATTGACAAAGAGCAGCTGACAAAGGAGATGTGTAGTGCAGCGCAGCATGTAATGCCTATGAATGATCTGTGAAGCGCCTACGTACTGCTCTATAAAGCCTTTCTAAGCCGTTGTTAGTTTACATTTTAACACATGTAATGGCCCCGGTGGACAACAGCAGAACTGACCAGCAGAAGAGGTGTTCTCTGCCACAGTCGATAGATAGCCCCTGATCTATGCATGTAATGCTTATGAAGACTTGATCAATGCTCTATGAAGTCTTTATAAGCTGTTGTTCCAAGTGCATCACATATAATGACCCCTATGGAACACAGAGCAGCAGTACTGACCAGGGAAACGGTGTCCCTTGCCACAGTCTATGTAGTGCTTATGAAGACTATATGAATTCTCTAAAAAACCTTTATAAGCTGATGTATGAAGATCAGAGTAGAACTGACCAGCAGAAGAGATGTCCCTTGCCACAGTCCACAGCAGGAGCTCTGAGGAGGGGTTGACTGAAGGGGTCAGAGGAGCTGCTACCTGGACCCTGGGATGAGAGACGCACCGCCCGCTCACACCCCGCCTTGGGACACCAGCGGATAGCTGGGTTGTTCTCCACAAACGCCTGGGGAGGAAAAATTAAAAACACATGAATACAGTATCAATATTTGGCTACAGAACTGAGGAAGAGAGAGCAGTGTTTTGCAATATAACTGAAACATTTCTAAACTGCAACATCTGTGCCACTTAGGACTGCGGGTTCATTACAGCACTGCCTGCTGTTAGGGTCAGCACTGCCTACTGTTAGGGTCAGCACCGCCTGCTGTTAGGGTCAGCACCAAAAATAGGAAAACAACCATTTCTGATCTGGGCCTGTATGCATAAAGTTTTCTCAGAGTAGGAGTGTTGAGCTCGGATCAGTTTCCCCTTTTAGATTACAATGAATGGACCTGATCCTAGATCAGCGCTGATACTCTGAGAGGCTTTATGAATACAGGCCCTTTTCATCCAGAATACACCTATACTTGTTTTAGTCTTCTCCACCAGGGTCGTGACTCCTGACTCATTTATAAACTGGACTGCACCACAGGTCCAACTGCAATCCTCCCAACCAATCACTCTGTCAGTCATTAACCTCTGACCCAGAAAATACCAACCAATCACAGCCTCCATGTCACCCAATAAGACTTGATGTTTCCATGACAATGTAGGTAGGTAGGGAGAGGTTAGGTCATGTCTTAAGGTCAGTCTCAGAATAGATCAGGAGTTCCGTTGTTGTTGTCCATGTAAAACCACCAGAGACTGTGTGTACGGTCTCATAGTTATATGGTCAGGGTCAGGGACAGCAGTAGATGTCTCCTCTCCTCCTTACTAATACATGTTTAACTGAATACAGCTTTGACATTCAATGAGAAATAAATAATCTTCCTTCCTTTTCAGTTTGCCTGCCTGCTGGTGTAGCTTGTGTACTTCCTTGTGTGTGTGTGTGGCGCGCATGTGCGTCTACATGTACCTTGATGTCGAACTGCAGGTAGCGCTTGTCCATCTCTCTGGAGACGACACTCTCTATGACCTCCACAGGAACCAGCTGGAAGCAGTCGTACGCCGGGCAGAAGATGTTGTGAGCCTCCCCTTCCTGGATCTTCAGATTCAGAAACCTGACACACACACAGAGACAGAGACAGAGAGAGACGGACAGACAGACACAGAGACAGAGACACACGCTTAAGGTTAAGTATCCTACTAGTGGTTTATCTTCCCCTATTGTCCAATTAATCACACTTACACCTTGAAAAACCAACTAAGTTCAAATCAATGAAGAAACCACAGAGAAACGGCTGCATCTCAAATGGCACCCTATTCCCCATGTAGTGCCCTTCTTTTGAACAGGGCTCTGGTCAAAAGTAGTGCACTATGTAGGGAATAGGGTGCCATTTGGGACGCACTTGTTTTATGGAAGGAATAATCTCACCCTTCCCAGCAGGCTCGGCAGAACTCGTGACCACATGACATGTCAACTGGTTCCTCGAAGATAGACATGGGGCACATGCAGATCCCACACTGTCAGAGAGACAGGGAGAAGAACACAACTGAGATGCTTACAGATTGATTGATTGATTTATTGTATTATTATAGTGTCATTCATCTTCAAGGATGCCCAGCCCACATAGGCATAATAGATGTTTAGATACGTTTCTTTCAAAGACACAGGGAGAATACAACACAGAACTGAGAATGACAGGAAACACATATTTTGACAGGAATTACAAAGTGTCTTTACAGCAAAATGAATGACAAAACTAACAAACATGCAATAGCTGATTAGATTGTCAGAGCATCAGGAAAAAACACACAAGACTGACAGAATGACAGGCAATATTATAGATTCTGTTTAGTGCATATTCAATTTGAAAAAACAAATATCCTGTTTGGATAAGTTTGAGGATCTGGCTACAGTGTAACAGTGTACAGGAAGTTCTTATTAACATATGCACTTTTTAAACTTGACTATCTGTGATGTGGAGAACAGCCGAGCAGATCTTCCTGAAGCCCATCATCATCATCATCATCTCTTTTGACAAAATGTCTATTCCATAAAACACAATGCATTGCCCAGGCATCCTCTACTCCACACACTGCTGCCTTGTTCTACAGTCTGAAGAGGAACAATGGACTGTGAGGAACCCACTGGAACTCAACAATGACTGTATTGATCTCTGAAAGAGGCAGCTTGTAATCCCATCTACTGAAACCTTCAGAAAGGACCCTTGAGTACAGAATTGGTCAATCAACACAGTGTGTAGCCTAACAGTTAGGTTGAGGACTGGCCTAGCTATTCACTGGTTTACTCCTCCACTGAGTTGATTTGCTGATAAAGTCAAATCTCAGTCTGACAGAAATTGTTATTAGTTCAGTTTCTCTACAGAGAATGTGTGTTTTCTCAGAAAATCAATTGTCTAGAACCATGCATACACAATGAGGCATAGAGACTCACATGTACTGGAAGTAAGTCATATACTGTTCATGCATTCCTTCAATGTCTCTGAATGATAATGGATGTTCAATAGTCCATGCTTATCTGCTACTGAACATGATACTGGAGTAATCTCAATTACTGTCTCATGCTTTTTTGCTCTGACCATATATGGGAAGTAGTCTCAGACTGTCTCATGGCTTCCTTTCCTGTCTCTGACACATGATACTGGGATAAGTCTCAAATACTGCTCATGGCTTTCCTTGACTGACACATGAAACTGGATAAGTCTCAACTGTCTCATGGCTTCTTTCCTTCCTGACAGATACTGGGAGTAAGTCTCAATACTGCTCATGGCTTCTTTCTGCCTTTGAACATGATACTGGGATAAGTCTCAATACTTCTCATGGCTTCCTTTCCTTGTCTCTGACATGATACTGGAGTAAGTCTCAATACTGTCTCATGGCTTCCTTCCTTGTCTCTGACATGATCTGGGAGTAATCTCAATCAATTGTCTCATGGCTTCCTTCCTCGTCTCTGAACATGAACTGGAGAAGTCTCAATACTGTCTCATGGCTTCCTTTCCTTGTCTCTGACATGATACTGGAGTAGTCTCATAACTGTCTCATGGCTTCCTTTCCTTGTCTCTGACACATGATACTGGGAGTAAGTCTCAATACTGTCTCATGGCTTCCTTTCCTTGTCTCTGACATGATATGTGGAGTAAGTCTCAATACAATACTGTCTCATGGCTTCCTTTCCTTGTCTCTGACACATGATACTGGGAGTAAGTCTCAATACTGTCTCATGGCTTCCTTTCCTTGTCTCTGACATGATACTGGGAGTAAGTCTCAATACTGTCTCATGGCTTCCTTTCCTTGTCTCTGACACATGATACTGGGAGTAAGTCTCAATACTGTCTCATGGCTTTCCTTTCCTTGTCTCTGACAACATGATACTGGGAAGTAAGTCTCAATACAGTCTCATGGCTTTTCCTTTCCTTGTCTCTGCTGATACTGGAGTAAATCTCAATACAATACTGTCCTCATGGCTTCCTTTCCTCGTCTCTGACACATGAAAAACGAGAAGTCTCATATTGTCTCATGGCTTAATTTCCTGTCTCTGACATGATACTGGGAGTAAAGTCTCGATACTGTCCTCATGGCCTTCCTTTCCTTGTCTCTGACATGGATACAAAGGGGAGTAGTCTCAATACTGTCTCATGGCTTCCTTTCCTTGTCTCTGACATGATATTGGGAGTAAATCTCAATATAATACTGTCTCATGGCTTCCTTTCCTTGTCTCTGACACATGAAACTGGGAGTAAGTCTCAATACTGTCTCATGGCTCCTTTCCTTGTCTCTGACATGATACGGGGAGTAAGTCTCAATCACCTTCCTTGTCTCTGACACATGATTACTGGGAGTAAGTCTCAATACTGTCTCATGGCTTCCTTTCCTTGTCTCTGACATGATACTGGGAGTAAGTCTCAATACTGTCTCATGGCTTCCTTTCCTTGTCTCTGACACATGATACTGGGAGTAAGTCTCAATACTGTCTCATGGCTTCCTTTCCTTGTCTCTGACATGATACTGGGAGTAAGTCTCATACTGTCTCTGCACATGATACTGGAGTAGTCTCATATGTTCAGGCTTCCTTTCCTTGTCTCTGACATGATACTGGGAGTAAGTCTCAATACTGTCTCATGGCTTTTTCCTTGTCTCTGACACATGATACTGGGAGTAGTCTCAATACTGTCTCATGCTTCCTTTCCTTGTCTCTGACACATGATACTGGGAGTAAGTCTCAATACTGTCTCATGGCTTCCTTTCCTTGTCTCTGACATGATACTGGGAGTAAGTCTCAATACTGTCTCTGACACATGATACTGGGAGTAAGTCTCAATACTGTCTCATGGCTTCCTTTCCTTGTCTCTGACACATGATACTGGGAGTAAGTCTCAATACTGTCTCATGGCTTCCTTTCCTTGTCTCTGACACATGAAACTGTGAGTAAGTCTCAATACTGTCTCATGGCTTCCTTTCCTTGTCTCTGACACATGATACTGGGAGTAAGTCTCAATACTGTCTCATGGCTTTTTTTCCTTGTCTCTGACACATGATACTGGGAGTAAGTCTCAATACTGTCTCATGGCTTCCTTTCCTTGTCTCTGACATGATACTGGGAGTAAGTCTCAATACTGTCTCATGGCTTCCTTTCCTTGTCTCTGACACATGATACTGGGAGTAAGTCTCAATACTGTCTCATGGCTTCCTTTCCTTGTCTCTGACATGATACTGGGAGTAAGTCTCAATACATTTACATTTTAGTCATACTGTCTCAGGGCTTCCTTTCCTTGTCTCTGACACATGAAAGGTTTGGAATTCAATAGGTTTTCAGTTTCAATAAATTCATTTCACCAGAGATAACATAGGAAGGGAAGCCCCTTCACACTATTGAGCTGTCTTTGACTGGATGAATGATCTATAAGCACCAGTGTGTGTGTGTGTGTGTGTGTGTGTGTGTGCGTGTATACGCCTGTATCTGTGTGTGTGTGTGTGTATGTGTGTGTGTATGTGCGTGTCTCCTCTTTTCTCTATGCTTCCTGCCCTCACCAGTGTTCTATCATCGTCCCCGGGGGTGAGGCTGATCTCGTCGGGGGAGGTGATGGAAGAGCGGGTGGTCCTGGGGGTACGAGGGGAGGGCAGGGTGTCCCAGGCGTTGTACCCACTAGGGGGAGCACTGGGCATGTGGACCCCAGACCGCTGGCAGCACTCCTCAGAATTAGACATCCAGGCCTCCAACAGCTTCTCTCTGTCCCAGTCTATAGCAGGAAAGATAGAAAACACTAGTTAGGTAATACCCTTTCAGTCTTAAAGCTATCCTCTCAACCAAATACTCCAGCAGGTTCTCTAGGTCCCAATCTGTGGCACAGTAGCAACAGACAATCTGGTCAGCACCTGCAATTTAGGGCATACCAGACCTTTCTTATACAAGAAACTCAAATCATTTACTCTAGCCTTTTGTCTGTAAAGGAGAAATAATCCTCTCTCTCACTACTCTCTTTCAAACTAAGGTACAAGGAGAATGACAACATGTTCTGCCTCTCCTGGAGGACAATGGGAAGAACCTGATTTCAAACATCTTTCTTTCATGGTGTTTCTGGGTATTCTATTCTGCACCACAGGACACATAATGCAGTCAGAAGCCACAACCAGCCTTTCTTAGAAACTCTCTGGATGTGTCTGAATGGCACCCTATTCCCTACACAGTGCACTTCTTTGAACCAGAGCCCTATGGGCCCTACGATAGACTGGCGTCCTGTCCAGCAAGCTGACTCAGAGCCCTATGGGCCCTATGATAGACTGGCGTCCTGTCTAGCAAGCTGCCTCAGAGCACTATGGGCCCTGTGATAGACTGGCGTCCTGTCCAGCAAGCTGCCTCAGAGCCCTATGGGCCCTACGATAGACTGGCGTCCTGTCCAGCAAGTATTTCGACCCCTTTACTTTTTTCACATTTTGTTACATTACAACCTTACTCTAAAATTGATTAAATTGTTTTTTTCCGCTTATCAATCTACACACAATACCCCATATAGACAAAGCAAAAACTGGTTTTTAGAAATGTTTAGAAATGTATTAAAAACTGAAATATCACATTTACATGTATTCAGACCCTTTACTCAGTACTTTGTTGACGCACCTTTGGCAGCAATTACAGCCTTGAGTCTTCTTGGGTATGACACTACAAGCTTGTCACACCTGTATTTGGGGAGTTTCTCCCATTCTTCTCTGCAGATCCTCTTAAGCTCTGTCAGGTTAGATGGGGAGCGCCGCTGCACAGCTATTTTCAGGTCTCTCCAGAGATGTTCGATTGGGTTCAAGTCTGAGCTCTGGCTGGGCCACTCAAGGACATTCAGAGACTTGTCCCGAAGCCACTCCTGCGTTGTCTTGGCTGTGTGCTTAGAGTCGTTGTCCTGTTGGAAGGTGATCCTTCTCCCCAGTCTGAGGTCCTGAGCGCTCTGGAGCAGGTTTTTATCAAGGATATCTCTGTACTTAGCGCCGTTCATCTTTCCCTTGATCCTGACTAGTCTCCCAGTCCCTGCCTCTGAAAAACATCCCCACAGCATGATGCTGCCACCACCATGCTTCACCGTAGGGATGGTGCCAGGTTTCCTCCAGACGTGACGCTAGCATTCAGGCCAAAGAGTTCAATCTTGGTTTCATCAAACCAGAAAATCTTGTTTCTCATGAGTCTTTAGGTGCCTTTTGGCAAACTCCATGTGCCTTTTACTGAGAAGTGGCTTCCGTATGGCCTCTCTACCACAAAGGCCTGATTGGTGGAGTGCTGCAGAGATAGTTGTCCTTCTGTAAGGTTCTCCCATCTCCACAGAGGAAGTCTGGAGCTCTGTCAGAGTGACCATCGGGTTCTTGGTCACCTCCCTGACCAAGGCCCTTCTCCCCCAATTGCTCAGTTTGTCAGGCCAGCTCTAGGAAGAGTCTTGGTGGTTCCAAACTTCTCCCATTTAAGAATGATGGAGGCCACTGTGTTCTTGGGGACCTTCAATGCTGCAGAAATGTTTTGTTACCCTTCCCCAGATCTGTGCCTCGACACAATCCTGTCTCGGAGCTCTACGGACAATTCCTTCGATCTCATGGCTTGGTTTTTGCTCTGACATGCACTGTCAACTGTGGGACCATATACAGTTGAAGTCGGAAGTTTACATACACTTAGGTTGGAGTCATTAAAATTCGTTCCTCAACCACTACACAAACTTCTTGTTAACAAATTATAGTTTTGGCAAGTCGGTTAGGACATCTACTTTATGCATGACACAAGTAATTTTTCCAGCAATTGTTTACATACAGATTATTTCACTTATAATTCACTGTATCACAATTCCAGTGGGTCAGAAGTTTAAATACACTAAGTTGACTGTGCCTTTAAACAGCTTGGAAAATTCCAGAAAATGATGTTATGGCTTTAGAAGCTTCTGATTGGCTAATTGACATCATTTGAGTCAATTGGAGGTGTACCTGTGGATGTATTTCAAGGCCTACCTTCAAACTCAGTGCCTCTTTGCTTGACATCATGGGAAAATCAAAGGAAATCAGCCAAGACCTCCGAAAAAAAATGTGTAGACATCCACAAGTCTGGTTCAACCTTGGGAGCAATTTCCAAACGCCTTAAGGTACCACAATAATCTGTACAAACAATAGTACGCAAGTATAAACACCATGGGACCACGCAGCCGTCATACCGCTCAGGAAGGAGACGCGTTCTGTCTCCTAGAGATGAACGTACTTTGGTGCGAAAAGTGCAAATCAATCCCAGAACAATAGCAAAGGACCTTGTGAAGATGCTGGAGGAAACAGGTACAAAAATATCTATATCCACAATAAAACGAGTCTTATATCGACATAACCTGAAAGGCCGCTCAGCAAGGAAGAAGCCACTGCTCCAAAACCTCCATAAAAAAGACAGACTATGGTTTGCAACTGCACATGGGGACAAAGACTGTACTTTTTGGAGAAATGTCCTCTGGTCTGATGAAACAAAAATAGAACTGTTTGGCCATAATGACCATCGTTATGTTTGGAGGAAAAAGAGGAAGGCTTGCAAGCCGAAGAACACCATCCCAACCGTGAAGCACGGGGGTGGTAGCATCATGCTGTGGGGGGGACTGGTGCACTTCACAAAATAGATGGCATCATGAGGAAGGAAAATTATGTGGATATATTGAAGCAACATCTCAAGACATCAGTCAGGAAGTTAAAGCTTGGTCGCAAATGGGTCTTCCAAATGGACAATGACCCCAAGCATACTTCCAAAGTTGTGGCAAAATGGCTTAAGGACAACGAAGTCAAGGTATTGGAGTGGCCATCACAAAGCCCTGACCTCAATCCTATAGAAAATGTGTGGGCAGAACTGAAAAAGCGTGTGCGAGCAAGGAGGCCTACAAACCTGACTCAGTTACACCAGCTCTGTCAGGAAGAATGGGCCAAAATTGACCCAACTAATTGTGGGAAGCTTGTGGAAGGCTACCCGAAACGTTTGACCCAAGTTAAACAATTTAAAGGCAATGCTACCAAATAATAATTGAGTGTATGTAAACTTCTGACCCACTGGAAATGTGATGGAAAGAAATAAAAGCTGAAATAAATCACTCTCTCTACTATTATTCTGACATTTCATATACTTAAAATAAAGTGGTGATCCTAACTGACCTAAAACAGGACATTTTTACTAGGATTAAATGTCAGGAATTGTGAAAAACTGAATTTAAATGTATTTGGCTAAGGTGTATGTAAACATTTCCAAATCATGTCCAATCAATTGAACTTACCACAGGTGGACTCCAATCAAGTTGTAGAAACATCTCAGGGATGATCAATGGAAACAGGATGCACCGGAGCTCAATTTCGAGTCTCATAGCAAAGGGTCTGAATACTTATGTAAATCATGTATCTGTTTTTTTATTTTTAATACATTTACAAAAATGTCTAAAAACGTGTTTTCGCTTTGTCATTATGGGTTATTGTGTGTAGATTGATGAGGGGGAAAAAAATATTTAATCAATTTTAGAATAAGGCTGTAACGTAACAAAATGTGGAAAAAGTGAAGGGGTCTGAATACTTTCCGAATGCACTTTATATAAGGAATAGGGAAGCATTATGGGATGCATCCTCAGTCATATACTTCAGCCTCTATATGATCTCCTTCAGGATCATTCTGGTGTTTCCTCTATTCCCATAGAATTAAACCTTGTCTATAATACAACACGAGAGGGACATTATAGCAAGTGAGAGACCTGAGCTTTGTCCTTAAGGCTTTGATAAGTGACATTCCTTACATGGTTGTAAAGGAAATTTAGCTCAGTGATAAAAATTGAGTGGGACCAGCGTATCTGATCAAATGAAGCGGGATTCCCTAAAGTACAGAATAATAATAGCATCATTCAAATGTCTTTACTATCACACGTCAGTTCAGCTCTGAACAGTTTAGCAGTCCCCTATTCATATAGGATTCTCTCAGTCCCCTATTCATATAGGATTCTCTCAGTCCCCTATTCATATAGGATTCTCCCAGTCCCCTATTCATATAGGCTTCTCCCAGTCCCCTATTCATATAGGCTTCTCCCAGTCCCCTATTCATATAGGATTCTCCCAGTCCCCTATTCATATAGGCTTCTCCCAGTCCCCTATTCATATAGGCTTCTCCCAGTCCCCTATTCATATAGGCTTCTCCCAGTCCCCTATTCATATAGGATTCTCCCAGTCCCCTATTCATATAGGCTTCTCCCAGTCCCCTATTCATATAGGCTTCTCCCAGTCCCCTATTCATATAGGCTTCTCCCAGTCCCCTATTCATATAGGCTTCTCCCAGTCCCCTATTCATATAGGCTTCTCCCAGTCCCCTATTCATATAGGCTTCTCCCAGTCCCCTATTCATATAGGCTTCTCTCAGTCCCCTATTCACATGTCAGTTCAGCTCTGAACAGTTTAGCTGTGTGTGTGTGTGTGTGTGTGTGTGTGTGTGTGTGTGTGTGTGTGTGTGTGTGTGTGTGTGTGTGTGTGTGTGTGTGTGTAGTCCATACCATGTGCTCTGAGCAGAGCCTCAGCAGTAAAGAGAGGGGCCTGCAGCATGTCTGCTGTCTCCACTATCAGCATGTCCTTCAGACGACGCAGCTCCTGAGGCCTCAGGCCCTCGTATAGCTGGAGGGAGAGAGAGACAGAGAGAGGGAGAGAGAGAGAGAGAGAGAGAGTGAGAGTGAGAGAGAGGGAGCGAGAGAGAGCGTGAGAGAGCGAGAGAGCGAGAGAGCGAGAGAGAGAGAGAACGAGAGAGAGAGAACAGGGCAGTCACATGCATGGGACTATAACCGTGATAATGTTTCTGTAGTGTGGCCAATAGCCCAGCTGACGGTTCCGCCTCGCTGTTCAAGTGGTCAGCGCATTCCTACAACAACACTGGACTGTATTCAAAGACAGTCCCCAGTATTGCAAAATACCTTTTGCTATGTTGCACTGGAGATGACCTTGGTTGGGTCTGAATTCCTCTGTGTTCCAGAGCAGCATACTCTGCCTCTATGTCCCCTGAGGCCAGACTGAAGACATGGTGGGGTAACTACACAACAGTATCTCTCTACAGTAGGGATATCTAGTATCTGGCCTACATCTCTGTGTTCCAGATCAGCGTACTCTGCCTCTATGTCCCCTGAGGCCAGACTGAAGACATGGTGGGGTAACTACACAACAGTATCTCTCTACAGTAGGGATATCTAGTATCTGGCCTACATCTCTGTGTTCCAGATCAGCGTACTCTGTCTCTATGTCCCCTGAGGCCAGACTGAAGACATGGTGGGGTAACTACACAACAGTATCTCTCTACAGTAGGGATATCTAGTATCTAGCCTACATCTCTGTGTTCCAGAGCAGCGTACTCTGCCTCTATGTCCCCTGGGCCAGCTGAAGACATGTGGGTAACTACCAACAGTATCCTCTACAGTAGGGATATCTGTATCTAGCCTACATCTCGTGTTCCAGATCACGTACTCTGCACTCTATGTCCCTCTTGAGGCCAGACTGAAGACATGGTGGGGTAATACACTACAGTATCCTCTACAGTAGAGATATCTATAATCTAGCCTTACTCTTCTGTGATCAGAGCAAGGGTACTCGCCTCTATGCCCTTGGCCAGGCTAAAGACCATCTGAGACTCCAGGCTGAGGGCCAGCTGTGTGCTTGCTCTGCCAGTCCACGGAGTCCACGTCTCATTCTCTGCAAACAGGTCCGCTTCCCTCTTCACTAGAATCTAGAAGAGGACAGAGAGAGGAGAGACATGGCATTCATTGGAAAGAGAGAATAGTCAAACAGGTGGGTTTCTCTTCACTAGGATCTAGAGGCAGAGGAGAGTCACTGTTCAAGGTACTGCCAACTAAAGAAACACCAACATAAAGTGTCTTAATAGAGCGTTGGGCCACCACGAGCCAGAACAGCTTCATATGAGCCTTGGCATAGATTCTACAAGTGTCTGGAACTCTATTGGAGGGATGCGACACCATTCTTCCACGAGAAATTCCATAATTTGGTGTTTTGTTGATGGTGGTGGAAAACACTGTCTCAGGCGCCACTCCAGAATCTCACAATTGGGTTGAGATCTGGTGACAGACGGCCATGGCATATGGTTTACATCGTATTCATGCTCATCAAACCATTCAATGATCACACATGTCCTGTGGATGGGGGCATTGTCATCCTATGGGGGGATAGCCATGGTAGTCAAAATAATGGCCTGCCCAGCATTTTTATACATGACCCTAAGCATGATGGGATGTTAATAGCTTAATTAACTCAGGAACCACACCTGTGTGGAAGCACCTGCTTTCAATACACTTTGTATCCCTCATTTAGTGTTTCATTAATTTTGGCAGTTACCTGTACAGTGGGGGAAAAAAGTATTTAGTCAGCCACCAATTGTGCAAGTTCTCCCACTTAAAAAGATGAGAGAGGCCTGTAATTTTCATCACAGGTACACGTGAACTATGACAGACAAAATGAGAAAAAAAAATCCAGAAAATCACATTGTAGGATTTTTTATGAATTTATTTGCAAATTATGGTGGAAAATAAGTATTTGGTCAATAACAAAAGTTTCTCAATACTTTGTTATATACCCTTTGTTGGCAATGACACAGGTCAAACGTTTTCTGTAAGTCTTCACAAGGTTTTCAAACACTGTTGCTGGTATTTTGGCCCATTCCTCCATGCAGATCTCCTCTAGAGCAGTGATGTTTTGGGGCTGTCGCTGGGCAACACAGACTTTCAACTCCCTCCAAAGATTTTCTATGGGGTTGAGATCTGGAGACTGGCTAGGCCACTCCAGGACCTTGAAATGCTTCTTACGAAGCCACTCCTTCGTTGCCCGGGCGGTGTGTTTGGGATCATTGTCATGCTGAAAGACCCAGCCACGTTTCATCTTCAATGCCCTTGCTGATGGAAGGAGGTTTTCACTCAAAATCTCACGATACATGGCCCCATTCATTCTTTCCTTTACACGGATCAGTCGTCCTGGTCCCTTTGCAGAAAAACAGCCCCAAAGCATGATGTTTCCACCCCCATGATTCACAGTAGGTATGGTGTTCTTCGGATGCAACTCAGCATTCTTTGTCCTCCAAACACGACGAGTTGAGTTTTTACCAAAAAGTTATATTTTGATTTCATCTGACCATATGACATTCTCCCAATCCTCTTCTGGATCATCCAAATGCACTCTAGCAAACTTCAGACGGGCCTGGACATGTACTGGCTTAAGCAGGGGGACACGTCTGGCACTGCAGGATTTGAGTCCCTGGCGGCGTAGTGTGTTACTGATGGTAGGCTTTGTTACTTTGGTCCCAGCTCTCTGCAGGTCATTCACTAGGTCCCCCCGTGTGGTTCTGGGATTTTTGCTCACCGTTCTTGTGATCATTTTGACCCCACGGGGTGAGATCTTGCGTGGAGCCCCAGATCGAGGGAGATTATCAGTGGTCTTGTATGTCTTCCATTGCCTAATAATTGCTCCCAAAGTTGATTTCTTCAAACCAAGCTGCTTACCTATTGCAGATTCAGTATTCCCAGCCTGGTGCAGGTCTACAATTTTGTTTCTGGTGTCCTTTGACAGCTCTTTGGTCTTGGCCATAGTGGAGTTTGGAGTGTGACTGTTTGAGGTTGTGGACAGGTGTCTTTTATACTGATAAGTTCAAACAGGTGCCATTAATACAGGTAACGAGTGGAGGACAGAGGAGCCTCTTAAAGAAGAAGTTACAGGTCTGTGAGAGCCAGAAATCTTGCTTGTTTGTAGGTGACCAAATACATATTTTCCGCCATAATTTGCAAATAAATTCATTAAAAATCCTACAATGTGATTTTCTGGAGAAAGAAAATCTCAATTTGTCTGTCATAGTTGACGTGTACCTATGATGAAAATTACAGGCCTCTCTCATCTTTTTAAGTGGGAGAACTTGCACAATTGGTGGCTGACTAAATACTTTTTTTCCCCACTGTATATGGGATGTTCGAAGATAATCGACAAGACAGATTTTCCTTGTTGTGAAATCAGATCTACAGAAGTGCCTAGGGCAGGGCTCTCCAACCCTGTTTCTGGAGAGCTACCATCCTATAGGTTCACTCCAACCCTGTTCCTGGAAAGCTACCATCCTATAGATTCACTCCAACCCTGTTCCTGGAGAGATACCGTCCTATAGGTTTAACTCCAACCCTGTTCCTGGAGAGCTACCGTCCTATAGGTTCACTCCAACCCTGTTCCTGGAGAGCTACCGTCCTGTAGGTTCACTCCAACCCTGTTTCTGGAGAGTTACCGTCCTATAGGTTCCCTGCAACCCTGTTCCTGGAGAGCTACCGTCCTATAGGTTCACTCCAACCCTGTTCCTGGAGAGCTACCATCCTATAGGTTCACTCCAACCCTGTTCCTGGAGAGCTACCATCATATAGGTTCACTCCAACCCTGTTTCTGGAGAGCTACCATCCTATAGGTTCCCTGCAACCCTGTTCCTGGAGAGCTACCGTCCTATAGGTTCACTCCAACCCTGTTCCTGGAGAGCTACCATCATATAGGTTCATTCCAACCCTGTTCCTGGAGCTACCATCCTATAGATTCACTCCAACCCTGTTCCTGGAGAGCTACCGTCCTGTAGGTTCACTCCAACCCTGTTTCTGGAGAGCTACCATCCTATAGGTTCCCTGCAACCATGTTCCTGGAGAGCTACCGTCCTATAGGTTCACTCCAACCCTGTTCCTGGAGAGCTACCATCATATAGGTTCACTCCAACCCTGTTCCTGGAGCTACCATCCTATAGGTTCACTCCAACCCTGTTCCTGGAGAGATACCGTCCTATAGGTTTAACTCCAAACCTGTTCCTGGAGAGCTACCGTCCTATAGGTTCACTCCAACCCTGTTCCTGGAGAGCTACCGTCCTGTAGGTTCACTCCAACCCTGTTTCTGGAGAGTTACCGTCCTATAGGTTCCCTGCAACCCTGTTCCTGGAGAGCTACCGTCCTATAGGTTCACTCCAACCCTGTTCCTGGAGAGCTACCATCCTATAGGTTCCCGGCAACCCTGTTCCTGGAGAGCTACCGTCCTATAGGTTCACTCCAACCCTGTTCCTGGAGAGCTACCATCATATAGGTTCACTCCAACCCTGTTCCTGGAGCTACCATCCTATAGGTTCACTCCAACCCTGTTACTGGAGAGATACCGTCCTATAGGTTTAACTCCAACCCTGTTCCTGGAGAGCTACCATCCTATAGGTTCACTCCAACCCTGTTTCTGGAGAGCTACCATCCTATAGGTTCCCTGCAACCCTGTTCCTGGAGAGCTACCGTCCTATAGGTTCACTCCAACCCTGTTCCTGGAGAGCTACCATCATATAGGTTCACTCCAACCCTGTTCCTGGAGCTACCATCCTATAGGTTCACTCCAACCCTGTTCCTGGAGAGATACCGTCCTATAGGTTCACTCCAACCCTGTTCCTGGAAAGCTACCATCTTATAGATTCACTCCAACCCTGTTCCTGGAGAGCTACTGTCCTGTAGGTTCACTCCAACCCTGTTTCTGGAGAGCTACCATCCTATAGGTTCCCTGCAACCCTGTTCCTGGAGAGCTACCGTCCTATAGGTTCACTCCAACCCTGTTCCTGGAGAGCTACCATCATATAGGTTCACTCCAACCCTGTTCCTGGAGCTACCATCCTATAGGTTCACTCCAACCCTGTTCCTGGAGAGATACCGTCCTATAGGTTTAACTCCAACCCTGTTCCTGGAGAGCTACCGTCCTATAGGTTCACTCCAACCCTGTTCCTGGAGAGCTACCGTCCTGTAGGTTCACTCCAACCCTGTTTCTGGAGAGCTACCGTCCTATAGGTTCCCTGCAACCCTGTTCCTGGAGAGCTACCGTCCTATAGGTTCACTCCAACCCTGTTCCTGGAGAGCTACCATCCTATAGGTTCACTCCAACCCTGTTCCTGGAGCTACCATCCTATAGGTTCACTCCAACCCTGTTCCTGGAGAGATACCGTCCTATAGGTTTAACTCCAACCCTGTTCCTGGAGAGCTACCATCCTATAGGTTCACTCCAACCCTGTTCCTGGAGCTACCATCCTATAGGTTCACTCCAACCCTGTTCCTGGAGAGATACCGTCCTATAGGTTCACTCCAACCCTGTTCCTGGAGAGCTACCATCATATAGGTTCACTCCAACCCTGTTCCTGGAGCTACCATCCTATAGGTTCACTCCAACCCTGTTCCTGGAGAGATACCGTCCTATAGGTTTAACTCCAACCCTGTTCCTGGAGAGCTACCATCCTATAGGTTCACTCCAACCCTGTTTCTGGAGAGCTACCATCCTATAGGTTCCCTGCAACCCTGTTCCTGGAGAGCTACCGTCCTATAGGTTCACTCCAACCCTGTTCCTGGAGAGCTACCATCATATAGGTTCACTCCAACCCTGTTCCTGGAGCTACCATCCTATAGGTTCACTCCAACCCTGTTCCTGGAGAGATACCGTCCTATAGGTTTAACTCCAACCCTGTTCCTGGAGAGCTACCGTCCTATAGGTTCACTCCAACCCTGTTCCTGGAGAGCTACCGTCCTGTAGGTTCACTCCAACCCTGTTTCTGGAGAGTTACCGTCCTATAGGTTCCCTGCAACCCTGTTCCTGGAGAGCTACCGTCCTATAGGTTCACTCCAACCCTGTTCCTGGAGAGCTACCATCCTATAGGTTCACTCCAACCCTGTTCCTGGAGAGCTACCATCATATAGGTTCACTCCAACCCTGTTTCTGCAGAGCTACCATCCTATAGGTTCCCTGCAACCCTGTTCCTGGAGAGCTACCGTCCTATAGGTTCACTCCAACCCTGTTCCTGGAGAGCTACCATCATATAGGTTCACTCCAACCCTGTTCCTGGAGCTACCATCCTATAGGTTCACTCCAACCCTGTTCCTGGAGAGATACCGTCCTATAGGTTCACTCCAACCCTGTTCCTGGAAAGCTACCATCCTATAGATTCACTCCAACCCTGTTCCTGGAGAGCTACTGTCCTGTAGGTTCACTCCAACCCTGTTTCTGGAGAGCTACCATCCTATAGGTTCCCTGCAACCCTGTTCCTGGAGAGCTACCGTCCTATAGGTTCACTCCAACCCTGTTCCTGGAGAGCTACCATCATATAGGTTCACTCCAACCCTGTTCCTGGAGCTACCATCCTATAGGTTCACTCCAACCCTGTTCCTGGAGAGATACCGTCCTATAGGTTTAACTCCAACCCTGTTCCTGGAGAGCTACCGTCCTATAGGTTCACTCCAACCCTGTTCCTGGAGAGCTACCGTCCTGTAGGTTCACTCCAACCCTGTTTCTGGAGAGCTACCGTCCTATAGGTTCCCTGCAACCCTGTTCCTGGAGAGCTACCGTCCTATAGGTTCACTCCAACCCTGTTCCTGGAGAGCTACCATCCTATAGGTTCACTCCAACCCTGTTCCTGGAGCTACCATCCTATAGGTTCACTCCAACCCTGTTCCTGGAGAGATACCGTCCTATAGGTTTAACTCCAACCCTGTTCCTGGAGAGCTACCATCCTATAGTTTCACTCCAACCCTGTTCCTGGAGCTACCATCCTATAGGTTCACTCCAACCCTGTTCCTGGAGAGATACCGTCCTATAGGTTCACTCCAACCCTGTTCCTGGAGAGCTACCATCATATTGGTTCACTCCAACCCTGTTCCTGGAGCTACCATCCTATAGGTTCACTCCAACCCTGTTCCTGGAGAGATACCGTCCTATAGGTTTAACTCCAACCCTGTTCCTGGAGAGCTACCATCCTATAGGTTCACTCCAACCCTGTTTCTGGAGAGCTACCATCCTATAGGTTCCCTGCAACCCTGTTCCTGGAGAGCTACCGTCCTATAGGTTCACTCCAACCCTGTTCCTGGAGAGCTACCATCCTATAGGTTCACTCCAACCCTGTTCCTGGAAAGCTACCATCCTATAGATTCACTCCAACCCTGTTCCTGGAGAGATACCGTCCTGTAGGTTCACTCCAACCCTGTTTCTGGAGAGCTACCATCCTATAGGTTCCCTGCAACCCTGTTCCTGGAGAGCTACCGTCCTATAGGTTCACTCCAACCCTGTTCCTGGAGAGCTACCATCATATAGGTTCACTCCAACCCTGTTCCTGGAGCTACCATCCTATAGGTTCACTTCAACCCTGTTCCTGGAGAGATACCGTCCTATAGGTTTAAATCCAACCCTGTTCCTGGAGAGCTACCGTCCTATAGGTTCACTCCAACCCTGTTCCTGGAGAGCTACCGTCCTGTAGGTTCACTCCAACCCTGTTTCTGGAGAGCTACCGTCCTATAGGTTCACTCCAACCCTGTTCCTGGAGCTACCATCCTATAGGTTCACTCCAACCCTGTTCCTGGAGAGATACCGTCCTATAGGTTTAACTCCAACCCTGTTCCTGGAGAGCTACCGTCCTATAGGTTCACTCCAACCCTGTTCCTGGAGAGCTACCGTCCTGTAGGTTCACTCCAACCCTGTTTCTGGAGAGCTACCGTCCTATAGGTTCCCTGCAACCCTGTTCCTGGAGAGCTACCGTCCTATAGGTTCACTCCAACCCTGTTCCTGGAGAGCTACCATCCTATAGGTTCACTCCAACCCTGTTCCTGGAGCTACCATCCTATAGGTTCACTCCAACCCTGTTCCTGGAGAGATACCGTCCTATAGGTTTAACTCCAACCCTGTTCCTGGAGAGCTACCATCCTATAGGTTCACTCCAACCCTGTTCCTGGAGCTACCATCCTATAGGTTCACTCCAACCCTGTTCCTGGAGAGATACCGTCCTATAGGTTCACTCCAACCCTGTTCCTGGAGCTACCATCCTATAGGTTCACTCCAACCCTGTTCCTGGAGAGATACCGTCCTATAGGTTTAACTCCAACCCTGTTCCTGGAGAGCTACCATCCTATAGGTTCACTCCAACCGTTTCTGGAGAGCTACCATCCTATAGGTTCCCTGCAACCCTGTTCCTGGAGAGCTACCGTCCTATAGGTTCACTCCAACCCTGTTCCTGGAGAGCTACCATCCTATAGGTTCACTCCAACCCTGTTCCTGGAAAGCTACATCCTATAGATTCACTCCAACCCTGTTCCTGGAGAGATACCGTCCTGTAGGTTCACTCCAACCCTGTTTCTGGAGAGCTACCATCCTATAGGTTCCCTGCAACCCTGTTCCTGGAGAGCTACCGTCCTATAGGTTCACTCCAACCCTGTTCCTGGAGAGCTACCATCATATAGGTTCACTCCAACCCTGTTCCTGGAGCTACCATCCTATAGGTTCACTCCAACCCTGTTCCTGGAGAGATACCGTCCTATAGGTTTAACTCCAACCCTGTTCCTGGAGAGCTACCGTCCTATAGGTTCACTCCAACCCTGTTCCTGGAGAGCTACCGTCCTGTAGGTTCACTCCAACCCTGTTTCTGGAGAGCTACCGTCCTATAGGTTCCCTGCAACCCTGTTCCTGGAGAGCTACCGTCCTATAGGTTCACTCCAACCCTGTTCCTGGAGAGATACCGTCCTATAGGTTTAACTCCAACCCTGTTCCTGGAGAGCTACCATCCTATAGGTTCACTCCAACCCTGTTCCTGGAGCTACCATCCTATAGGTTCACTCCAACCCTGTTCCTGGAGAGATACCGTCCTATAGGTTCACTCCAACCCTGTTCCTGGAGAGCTACCGTCCTGTAGGTTCACTCCAACCCTGTTTCTGGAGAGCGACCATCCTATAGGTTCCCTGCAACCCTGTTCCTGGAGAGCTACCATCCTGTAGGTTTAACTCCAACCCTGTTCCTGGAGAGCTACCGTCCTATAGGTTCACTCCAACCCACACATGATTCTAATAATTAGCTGTTTTTTAAACTGAAATCAGGTTAGTTACAACTGGGGTTGGAGCGAAAACCTACAGGAGGGCAGTTCTCCTGGAACAGGGTTGGAGAGCCCTGGCCTAAGGGAAAGGGGCTTTAGGGAAGAAGTGCCTATGAGGTAGGGCTTATGGGAAGTGTCTAAAGGATTAGGGGTTCGCACCTCTACACACTTCTTCATCCCTGAGGCGGCTGCGTAGTGCAGCGATGTATTCTTCTTGTTATCAGTAGCGTTGACATCAGCGTTCTCATACTCTCCCTGGTCCAGCTTGGCTCCGGTCCATTTCAGGATGATCTGGAGACACTCGGCCCTCTTCATCTCGTCCAGCTCGGGCCGGGCCAGCCGCGGCTGCAGAGCCCCCTCCCCCATTAGGATCTGGGGGCCCATACAGAGGAGATGGAGGGACGTCTCATTGTGAGCGTTACGCTTGTTGGGGTTGCCGTCCTTACTGAAGAGAAACGACCTGGAAGGAGAGGAGAAGAGGAAGAAGGGACATGGTTTAGTTGGTACTAATAAGACCCTTTTGACATTTCACAGTCATCCTTAAAGGAATACTTCGGGATTTTGGCAATGGGGCCCCTATGTCTACTTGCTCAGATTCAGATGAACTCGTGAAAACCATTTTTATGTCTCTGCGTTCAGGTTGAAGGAAGTAGTGTTAGCAAAATTGATAACTAGCGTTTGCGCAATGACTTGAAGTCTATGGGAACAGCTAACATACTAGCTGTTCCTGTAGACTTCCAGTCAATGCACTAACGCTAGTTTGCATTGGCTCGCGAAACTACCTCTAACTTCCTTCATACTGGATGCAGTGACATAAAAATGGTCTCTACGAGTTCATCACACTCTGGGGAAACCCCGAACTATCCCTTTAAGTACTAGTACTTAGTGAGTACATCAGACTATTTTACTGTAGTGAAGTAATATTTGATATGTGTATATACAGTATACTATTTATACCTCACATGAGACTCGAAATAAGACTAAGCAATTAGCCTATTAAAATGTTTATGACACCATAAAGATAATTAGCAATATGCAAGAACACTATTGAGTTACAGTAGTAGGCAATGAAGAAATGTCTGAATGGAATTCTAAATACAAGTGTATTTAATTACTTTGTCAAATTAATGGATTCACATTCAAGGCATAAAGCTTAAGTTACAAAGCATTAACAAGCATTACAAGACATTATTATAAGCATGGTCAGAGAGAGAGAGAGAGAGAGAGAGAGAGAGAGACAAAGAAACCATGGCTTGAGTCATGGACCATAGTTCATGGGAGAGAGAACGAAAGAATGTACCGTATTTTCCGCACTATAAGGCGCACCGGATTATAAGGCGCACCTTCAATGACTGGCTTATTTTAGAACTGTTTTCATATATAGGGCGCACCGGATTATAAGGCGCATAGAATAGAAGATAGTCAAACGATTGACTGGGGTTGCGTTATGCATCCACTAGATGGAGCTGTGCTAAAGGGAATGTCAACAAAACAGTCAGATAAAGTCAAACTTTATTAACATTTACATTTTACATTTTAGTCATTTAGCAGACGCTCTTATCCAGAGCGACTTACAGTTAGTGCATACATTATTTTTTATACCCCCCGTGGGAATTGAACCCACAGCCCTGGTGTTGCAAACACCATGCTCTACCAACTGAGCTACATCCCTGCCGGCCATTCCCTCCCCTACCCTGGACGACGCTGGGCCAATTGTGCGCCGCCCCATGGGTCTCCCGGTCGCGGCCAGCTACGACAGAGCCTGGATTAAGCGTTCTGACAACTCCGTTCACTCCCATGGTAACGTTGTTCAAACGTTAATGTGCATATTAACAATATCTCCCAGCCTTGCTCACTCTTCATAATTGCTAAATTGCACCATATATACAGTGCCTTCAGAAAGTATTCACACCCCTTGACTTTTTCCACATTTTGTTGTGTTAACTGAGATTTTTTGTCACTGGCCTGCACACAATACCCCATAATGTCGAAGTGGAATTTTTGAAATTAATTAAAAATGAAAAGCTGAAATGTCTCGAGTAAATAAGTATTCAACCCCTTTGTTATTGCCAGCCTAAATAAGCTCAGGAGTAAAACTTTGCTTAACAAGTCCCACAATAAGTTGCAATTTCAAGCACAGATTCAACCACAAAGACCAGGGAGCTTTTCCATTGCCTCGCAAAGAAAGGTACCTACTGGTACAGTAGATGGGTAAAAAAAAAAAAGCAGATATTGAATATACCTTTGAGCATGGTGAAGTTATTAATTACACTTTGGATGGTGTATCAATAAACCCAGTCACTACAAAGATACAGGCATTCTTCCTAACTCAGCTGCCGGAGAGGAAGGAAACCGCTCAGGGATTTCACCATGAGCCCCATGGTGACTTTAAAACATTTTACATTTACATTTTAGTCATTTAGCAGACGCTCTTATCCAGAGCGACTTACAGTTAGTGCATACATTATTTTTTATACCCCCCGTGGGAAACGAACCAAACGTTGCAAACGCCATGCTCTACCAACTGAGCTACATCCCTGCCAGCCATTCCCTCCCCTACCCTGGACAACGCTGTGCCAATTGTGCGCCACCCCATGGGTCTCCCGGTCGCGGCCGGCTACGACAGAGCCTGGATTCGAACCAGGATATCTAGTGACACAGCTAGCACTGTGATGCAGTGCTTTAGACCACTGCGCCACTCGGGAGTCCCGAGTTACAGTTACAGAGTTTAATGGCTGTGATAGGAGAAAACTGAGGATAAATCAACAACATTGTAGTTACTCCACAATACTAACCTTATTGACAGAGTGAAAAGAAGGAAGCCTGTACAGAATAAAAAATATTCAAAAACATGCATCCTGTTTGCAACAAGGCACTAAAGTAATACTGCAAAAATGTGGCAAAGCAATTAACTTTTTGTCCTGAATACAAAGTGTTATGTTTGGGGCAAGTCCAATACAACACATTATTGAGTACCACTCTCCATATTTTCAAGCACAGTGGTGGTTGCATAATTTTATGGGTATGCTTGTCATCGTTAAGGACTAAGGAGTTTTTCAGGATGAAAAAGAAACGCAATGGAGCTAATCACAGGCAAAATCCTAGAGGAAAACCTGGTTCACTCTGCTTTCCGCCAGACACAGAGATTAAATTCACCTTTCAGCAGGACAATAACCTAAAACACAAAGCCAAATCTACACTGGAGATTGCTTACCAAGAAGACAGTGAATGTTCCTGTGTGGCCGAGTTAGTTTTGACTTAAATCTATTTAAAAGTATATGGCAAGACCTGAAAATGGTTGTCTAGCAAGGATCAACAACCAATTTTACAGAGTGTGAAGAATTTTGAAAAAGAATAATGGGCAAATGTTGCACAATCCAGGTGTGGAAAGCTCTTAGAGACAGAAATACTCACAGCTGTAATCTCTGCCAAAGGGTGCTTCTACAAAGTATTGACTCAGGGGTGTGAATAAATTTGATATTTAAGTTTTCATTTTCAATAAATTTTCAAAAACATGTTTTCACTGTCATGATGGGTATTTCTATTGAATCCATTTTGAATTCAGGCTGTAACAACAAAATGTGGAATAAGTCCAGGGGCATGAATACTTTCTGAAGGCACTGTACACATTCAGTCAATAAAAAAAACAAGTGCCGTTTAAGATTGACTTATTGAAACCATAATATCAACTAGTTACATTATATTGTGGAACACAATCTTCAAAAAGGTAGTAACCTCAGCAGTGGTGCTTGCTTGTAGAAGCCTACGGCTTTGCAATGGCATTACCTTGTTTGAAACAGGGCTAAATTTGAAAAGTTGAAATAAAAACAATTTCAGGGTTCCAAACCTTTTCGATATATAGGACGTTCAATTTTGTTTATTCTGCCTGTTCTGGAATTTTCTAAATGGACTATTCCACGTTGAACACTGCATGGTGATGAATTACGGCCACAACATCTGTTTGGTGAGTAAGGCTTAATGATTCTGATGAAAATTCGCTCTGTATTTATCAAAATAAGGTTTTTGCATATTTTCAGTGTAGAACCTTTCTATGTTTAGGGGGGTTATAGCCTAGCCCTAGGCTAACTAACCTGTGTATGTTAAGGGGGTTATAGCCTAGCACTAGGCTAACTAACCTGTCTATGTTAAGGGGGTTATATCCTAGCCCTAGGCTAACTAACCTGTCTATGTTAAGGGGGTTATAGCCTAGCCCTAGGCTAAATAACCTGTCTATGTTAAGGGGGTTATAGCCTAGCCCTAGGCTAACTAACCTGTCTATGTTAAGGTGGTTATAGCCTAGCCCTAGGCTAACTAACCTGTGTATGTTAAGGGGGTTATAGCCTAGCCCTAGGCTAACCAATTCTAAATGGCACTAGCAGTTCGCAAGGTAGCCTAAGCGGATAACAGACTGAAAGCAATTATTCCAAAACTGCAGCTCGTTGTTGGAACACATATTGCCCTACTTCAATCAACCAGTCCATTTTGAATTTGTGATAAAACTGTCGTCATTTGGCAAGAAATGTAGCTTGTGTATACAATCAGTTAGATACGTTTTTAATAGGCATTTATTTCTGTAGGACTAACGGGAGCTTGTGTGCGCACTCAGGACGTGTGTGTAGAGGGAGCGGATGGAACGCAACTGAGTGAGTGAGACAGAGTGGAAAGGGAATTTAGGGAGAAGAACTGCGTGATGCTTGGCTTGGTTTCTTTTTTGTTGTGCCCCGCAAATGCACATGTAGGCCTATGGAGCACAAGAGTCAAAGCAAATTAACGTTGTCTTCAAGCAAACAGAGGGGTAATGATGCCTTCATAGAATTGGCAGGAATGGCCAGCAGAGCAGTAGTCTGGTGGGAACAGTTTCCAGACACGATGGTTGGTTGTTCTCTACACTAATGGTTAGCCCAGGGGCTACTGTCAACTCCGCTGTTGTTACGATGAAAAACAGTCTTATCTGACTTTAACAGTTTGACTCATTTATCCTCTCTGTGGTCTAGAACACCACATGTCCACAGCCAAACCAACCACAAGGTTACAAAGGACCACGGCCACTTGTACTGATGGCCAACAATTGATTACCAATAACAGCATAGAATAGATTTCCCTCTGAGCGTGTGATGAACTCAAGAGTACTGAAGCAGGAGTACACAGCTACTCTGACAGGTCCAGACAATAACACCAAGTCTGTATATGTAGGCCCCTGGTCAAAAGCAGTGCACTACATAGGGGATAGGAAGCCATTTGAGACACATCCTAAGTAAATGACAGTATGATGAAGAAGCAGGAAAAATGGTGTCTCCGGTCAATGTAGTTCCCTGCAAGTTGCCCTAGAGAAATACACACACAGACTATCATGCCCAATTAAACCTTCATAGAATGTATAGAGCTAAGTACTACCTTTATAGAAACTGGTGCCCTGCTATAGAACTACATCCTGTTGGAATCCTTCAGAAATTATTAGCGTGCTTCCTTCCTCCTTTGAAACGATCACATATCTGAACTGGCTGGGTTGGTAGAAGTAGTATGGTGGTAACTTCGCTTACACCCTGTCCAATTATTTATAGATCTGTGCTTAGCTCAATGCAACAAGGAAGGAAGGACGCATTTCTAAAGTATTGTAACAGGGCCCTAGTGTTAGAGACTAGTGCTAGTAGTGGAGCCCTGCAGTCCAGGTAGTCACTTCCTGTTTCAGTAGGATTTCTTCTGTTTGGTGCCTAATGAACACCACCCTGGCTTTATAGGAATTGGTGCCCTGCTATAGTAAGTATAGTGTTAGAGAGTGAAGGAGGCTTGTAGCTCAGTCTCAGGGTGTTTTGCATTCCTGTGTGTGTCTAACAGATGGTTCCTAGCAGGGGCAGATGGGGCAGAGCACACTGAGAAGGACCACAGAGACACACAACACTCTCCCCATCCTGGACACAGAGAGCAGGGGAGTAGCTGCTACCACATAGGCTACATACAGCTAAAAGGTAGTGGTGAATAACTCCACTTGAAAAGCCATTGAATATAAAGGGGAAGCCATCCCCATCAAGTCATCTTTAAACTAACTGCTCAATTCAATCACATTTTAAATAGCATGTTTGTCTGTCTGTGCTTCGTTTGTGTGCAACTCACTGACACCATTTTGCCCTTTGGGGATAATAGAAATCTACTGAATTTAATTTCCAAGTCATAACTGTAGCCTAAATACTACTTTGTCAACTGACTTGCTGTTGCTGGATAAATAAAGGTTAAACAAACGGTTAGATGAATAACCAGAGAGGATGTGAATAACCAGGGCCCCGTGTAGCTCAGTTGGTAGAGCATGGCGCTTGCAACGCCAGGGTTGTGGGTTTCATTCCCACGGGGGGCCAGTATGAAAAAAAAAAAAAAAAAAAATGTATGCACTCACTAACTGTAAGTCGCTCTGGATAAGAGCGTCTGCTAAATGACTAAAATGTAAATGTAATACATTGAATTAGCGGTGAAACCAAACAAGCTGTTTGTTGCCGGGTCCAGACGAAGACCTTCAGGTCAAAACGTAATGTTGCACAACAAAACTGTGGGAACACTCACCAGTGAGCATCCTGGGTATCTATGCTATAACCCAAGGATCATAAACTAGATTCAGCCGCCGGTCGTTTTTTTCTTGAGCGGATGTAATATTTGACGACATGGCCAAAGGTATGTGGACACCACTTCAAATTAGTGGATTCAGTTATTTCAGCCACACCCGTTGCTGACAGGTGTATAAAATCGAGCACACAGCCATGCAATCTCCATAGACAAACATTGGCTGTAGAATGGCCTTACTGAAGAGCTCAGTGACTTTCAACGTGGCACCATCATAGGATGCCACCTTTCAGTTCGTCAAATTTCTGCCCTGCTAGAGCTGCCCCGGTCAACTGTAAGTGCTGTTATTGCTAAGTGGAAACGTCTAGGAGCAACAATAGCTCAGCCGCAAAGTGGTAGGCCACACAAGCTCACAGATTGAGACCGCCGAGTGCTGAAGCGCGTAAAAATTGTCTGTCCTTGGTTGCAACACTCACTACCGGGTTCCAAACTGCCTTTGGAATCAACGTCAGCCTAGAACTGTTCGTTGGGAGCTTCATGAAATGGGTTTCCATGGCCAAGCAGCCGCACACAAGCCTAAGATCACCATGCGCAATGCCAAGCGTCGGCTGGAGTGGTGTAAAGCTCGCCGCCATTGGACTCTGGAGTATTGGAAATGTGTTCTCTGGAGTGATGAATCACGCTTCACCATCTGGCAGTCCGACTAATAATCTGGGTTTGGTGGATGCCAGGAGAACGCTACCTGCCCTAATGCATAGTGCCAACTGTAAAGTTTGGTGGAGGAGGAATAATGGTATTTTTCATGGTTCGGGCTAGGCCCCTTAGTTCCAGTGAAGGGAAATCTTAATGCTACAGCATACAATGACATTCTAAATTATTCTGTGCTTCCAACTTTGTGGCAACAGTTTGAAGAAGGCCCTTTCCTGTTTCAGCATGACAATGCCCCCCTGCACAAAGTGAGGTCCATACAGAAATGGTTTGTGAGATTGGTGTGGAAGAACTTGACTGACCTGCCAGAGCCCTGACCTCAACCCCATCGAACACCTTTGGCATGAATTGGAACACTGATTGCGAGCCAGGCCTAATCGCCCAACATCAGTGCCCGACCTCACTAATGCTTGTGGCTGAATGGAAGCAAGGCCCTGCAGCAATGTTCCAACATCTAGTCTTTTATATCTAACACCAACAACAACAAAAATATATTTATACACTACCAGTTAAAAGTTTTAGAACACCTACTCATCCAAGGGTTTTGCTTTATTTTTACTATTATCTACAATGTAGAATAATAGTGAAGACATCAAAACTATGAAATAACACATATCGAATCATGAAGTAACCAAAAAAGTGTTTTTTATTTTTGATTCTTCAAATAGCCACCCTTTGCCTTGATGACAGCTTTGCACACTCTTGGCATTCTCTCAACTAGCTTCACCTGGATTGCTTTTCCAACAGTCTTGAAGTAGTTCCCACATATGCTGAGCACTTGTTGGCTGCTTTTCCTTCACTCTGCAGTCCGACTCATCCCAAACCATCTCAATTGGGTTGAGGTCGGGGGATTGTGGAGGCCAGGTCATCTGATGCAGCACTCCATCGCTCTCCTTTTTGGTAAAATAGCCCTTACACAGCCTGGAGGTCTGTCTAGTTTGAGAAACAGATGCCTCACAGGTCCTCAACTGGCAGCTTCAAAATATTAAGATGGGCAGTCTGAGATATGGCTGAGAGTCGCCTCTTCACTGTTGACGTTGAGACTGGTGTTTTGTGGGTACTATTTAATGAAGCTGCCAGTTGAGGACCTGTGAGGCGTCTGTTTCTCAAACTAGACACTAATGTATTTGTCCTCTTGCTCAGTTGTGCACCGGGGCCTCCCACTCCTCTTTCTATTCTGGTTAGAGCCTGTTTGCGCTGTTCTGTGAAGGGAGTAGTACACAGCGTTGTATGAGATCTTCAGTTTCTTGGCAATTTCTCGCATGGAACAGCCTTCATTTCTCAGAACAAGAATAGACTGACGAGTTTCAGAATAAAGTTATTTGGTTCTGGCCATTTTGAGTCTGTAATCGCCATTTACAACATGAACAATGTCTACACTGTATTTCTGATCAATTTGATGTTATTTTAGTGGACAAAAAAATTGCTTTTCTTTCGAAAACAAGGACATTTCTAAGTGACCCCAAACTTTTGAACAGTAGTGTATATTATTTTATTTTTTTGCTCCGAAAACTTGGGGGGGCAAATAAAATCACGTGGGGAAACCTTGCTATAACCGAGGGACGTACGTTTATAGCTTCTTCGTCGTGGTCCTCTGTAGCTCAGCTGGTAGAGCACGGCGCTTGTAATGCCAAGGTAGTGGGTTCGATCCCCGGGACCACCCATACACAAAAGAATTTATGCACGCATGACTGTAAGTCGCTTTGGTTAAAAGCGTCTGCTAAATGGCATATTATTATATATATTATTAATATATATTTATTCAGGTTCTTTCCACAGTTTTCATATTTCTGGTTATTACACATTTAATTGACTCCCAATTTCAGATGACTTCATACAGTTAGATGGGCCAGAGGGTCAGATATTTGAAAGGGGCATGTATCCGTCATGTCCTCACCTGATGATTCGTGTCATGGCGTGCCTGGTGGCGTAGTGGAGAGGAGTGTTATGCTGGTAGGGTTCGCCATACGAGGTGTTGGGGTCCAGACTCTCTTTAAACTGGGGGCTACCCTCATACAGCTGATAGGCCAGACCCTCGTCACCATTGATCAGAGCCTTGCGGAACTTGGTGGCTGTGTTCCCCATCGCCACCTCAGATTCCAGCAGGAGCTTCAACCTGAAGGTGTTTGGTGATATTCAACCTGTCCAAGTGCAGAAGGACAGCATACTGGAGCTCCTAAGGAGAGCAGAGAGGATAGAGATGAAATTACAGCCAAAGAAATACAGCTAGTTCCATCAGACCATAACAATACATCATGCTCGCATTTAGGAGGGTGCAATGCATTGAATAACCTTTAGGAGGGTGCAATGCATTGAATAACATTTAGGAGGGTGCAATGCATTGAATAACATTTAGGAGGGTGCAATCCATTGAATAACATTTAGGAGGGTGCAATGCATTGAATAACATTTAGGAGGGTGCGATGCATTGAATTTCATTTAGGAGGGTGCAATGCATTGAATAACATTTAGGAGGGTGCAATGCATTGAATAACATTTAGGAGGGTACAATGTATTGAATATCATTTAGGAAGGTGCAATGCATTGAATAACATTCCTTTAATCTACATGATTCCTTTACTCAGAGAGGTACGTATGCTCTATGCTATATTTCTGTCTGAACATTCCACAACATTGTTCCCTACCGAACACAACCCAGATTTCAACAAGACATAACAACAGGATGTGTCATGCCAAACATAGCTAAAGACATTTTTCTGGTTAACCTAAGACTTTCAAATTTCAACTGTCATTCTGGTTTATCCTAGAATTCCTAACAATAAAAGCTTTTCAATTGACAACAAATATAAAATCATAGAATCCTACAAAACCACCCTACTTACCAACAATAAAACAGGAGAAGAGTAGCCTAACTGGGTAACTGCAAGTCCAAACCACAAAACCACTAACTGAGGGGAAGAGGCTGATTTCCACACAAGTCCCGTTTCCACGCATGCACCTTGTTGTCCTGCTAGGGCTAATGCTATTTTCTGACTGGCTCACCGTGCCAGCTCATCTCATGGGGAGAAAGAGAGAGAGACAAGACTTCCTCTAGTATCACCAGGGGCTTCCTGCTTCACTCTGCCAACTGTCCTCACTCTGAGATCAGGGCCCAGGCCCAAATTGAACCCTATTCCCTATGTAGTGCACTACTTTTAACCAGAGCCCTTTGGGTCCTGGTCAAAAGTAGCGCACTACATAGGGAATAGGGCGCCATTTGGGACTAACCATAAGACCCATTGTGGACTTGGACTCCACCGATGCCATATGTCCATGTGGGTACACAGGCACAGGGCAGTGGGGACGGACATGCTCCTACTACCATCCTGCTCTACTCACAATAGGGACATCTCTACAGTACCCAGACAGACTGTATGAGACAGTATCCAGACATAGACTGTATGAGACAGTACCCAGACATAGACTGTATGAGACAGTACCTAGACAGACTGTATGAGACAGTACCCAGACAGACTGTATGAGACAGTACCCAGACAGACTGTATGACTCGGTACCCAGACAGACTGTATGAGTCGGTACCGACATAGACTGTATGAGTCGGTACCGACATAGACTGTATGAGTCGGTACCCAGACATAGACTGTATGAGATGGTACCCAGACACAGACTGTATGAGTCGGTACACAGACAGACTGTATGAGTCGGTACACAGACATAGACTGTATGAGACGGTACCCAGACATAGACTGTATGAGTCAGTACCAAGACAGACTGTATGAGTCAGTACCCAGACAGACTTTATGAGTCAGTACCCAGACATAGACTGTATGAGTCAGTACCCAGACATAGACTGTATGAGTCAGTACCAAGTGTGTATTGTAATAGATTACAAAGACATGTACCCAGTGTAGACTAGGACTATATTGTCACGTCTTACAAAGGCACAGACTGTATTAAAACCTCAACTCCACTCAGCAGTACAAATTACAAAACATGCTACTAGCTAACGTTTGGGAATTCATGTGACATACCACCAAATTGTTTTAATTTGCAACTCTTCCTGGGCACGTTACAAAATGTTTGTTTATTTGGCTCAGCCTCCACATATTCAATGTGATTGTCTTGATTGTTTTTGACGGTTTTATTGTGTGACCTGTTGGGGCTGTTTTGATAACAAACTCATTTTCCCCTTGGGTATCAATAAAGTATAATGTGATCCCAAATGAGTTTAGGTCTTCACAGGAGGACAGGACCAGAGGACCTTCTGCATCCCAAATGAGTTTAGAACTTCACAGAGGACAGGACCATAGGACCTTCTGCATCCCAAATGAGTTTAGATCGTCACAGAGGACAGGACCATAGGACCTTCTGCATCCCAAATGAGTTTAGATCGTCACAGAGGACAAGACCAGAGGACGTAGGCCAGATTTTGCATATTCAAAGTGGTAGGCATGTTGTGTAAATCAAATGATACAAACCCCCCAAAAATCCATTTGAATTCCAGGTTGTAAGGCAACAAAATAGGAAAAACGCCAAGGGGGATGAATACTTTTGCAAGGCACTGTAGAAGCGGCCGTAGGAGCAGTACAAAACTGCAAATTTGGACTCATCAGACCAAAGGACAGATTTCCACCGGTCTAATGTCAATTGCTTGTGTTTCTTGGCTCAAGCCAGTCTCAGTCTCTTCTTCTTATTGGTGTCCTTTAGTAGTGGTTTCTTTGCAGCAATTCGACCATGAAGGCCTGATTCACGCAGTCTCCTCTGAACAGTTGATGTTGAGATGTGTTACTTGAACTCTGTGAAGCATTTATTTGGGCTGCAATCTGAGGTGCAGTTAACTCTAATGAACTTATCCTCTGCAGCAGAGGTAACTCTGGGTCTTCCTTTCTTGTGGCAGTCCTCATGAGAGCCAGTTTCATCATAGCGCTTGATGGTTTTTGCGACTGCACTTGAAGAAACTTTTAAAGTTCTTGAAATTTTCCAGATTAACTGACCTTCATGTCTTCAAGTAATGATGGACTGTCGTTTCTCTTTGCTTATTTGAGCTGTTCTTGTCATAATATTTTTACATTTACAGTTTAGTCATTTAGCAGACGCTCTTATCCAGAGCGACATACTGGCGTTGCAAGCGCCATGCTCTACCAACTGAGCTACACGGGACTGATGACTGGATGGATTCCTATAAAGCGGGATGGAAGATGTTTGAATGGGTGTTATTGGTAAAACATTATTCAAGGGACCAGTGTTCAATGACTTTGTACATAGGGAAGCAGTCTCTAAGGTGCAGGGTTGAGTACCGGGTGATAACCGGCTAGTAACAGTGACTAAAGTTCAGGGCAGGGCACTGGGCTGAGGCCGGCTAGTTGTGACTATTTAACAGTCTGATGGCCTTGAGATAGAAGCTGTTTTTCAGTCTCTCGGTCCCAGCTTTGATGCACCTGTACTGTCTCCACCTTCTAGAAGATAGTGGGGTGAACAGGCCGTGGCTCGGGTGGCTGAGGTCCTTGATGATCTTCTTGGCCTTCCTGTGACACCGGGTGCTGTAGATGTCCTGGCCGACCGCACCACCCGAAGAGCCCTGCGCTTTCGGACAGTGCAGTTGCCATACCATGCGGTGATACAGCCCAACAGGATGCTCTCAATAGTGCGTATGTAGAAGTTTGTGAGGGTCTTAGGAGCCAAGAAGAATTTCTGCAACCTCCTGAGGTTGAAGAGACGTTGTTGCGCCTTCTTCACCACACTGTCTGTGTGGATGGATCATTTCAGGTTGTCAGTGATGTGCACGCCAAGCAACTTGAAGCTTTTCACCCTCTCCACTGCAGCACTGTCGATGTGGATGGGGGCATGCTGCCTCTGCTGTCTCCTGAAGTCCATGATCAGCCCCTTCATTTTGTTGACATTGAGGGAGAGGTTATTTTCCTGGCACCACTCTGCCAGGGCCTTCACCTCCTCCCTGTAGGCTGTCTCATCGTTGTTGGTAATCAGGCCTACTACTGTTGTGTCATCTGCAAACTTGATGATTTAGTTGGAGGTGTGCGTGGCCACGCAGTCATGGGTGAACAGGGAGTACAGGAGGGGGCTGAGCACGCACACTTGTGGGGCCCCTGTGTTGAGGATCAGCGTAGTGGAGGTGTCGTTGCCTACCTTCACCACCTGGGGTTGCCCCGTCAGGAAGTCCAGGGTCCAGTTGCACAGGGCTGGGTTCAGACCCAGGGTCCCAAGCTTAGTGATGAGCTTGGAGGGCACTATGGTGTTGAAGGCTGAGCTGCAGTCAATGAACAGCATTCTTACATAGCTATATGGCAGTGTACGGTGCGATGGCGATTGTGTAATCCGTGGATCTGTTGGGGCGGTATGCAAATGTTAGTGGGTCTAGGGTGTTTGGTAAGGTGGAGGTGATATGAACCTTAACTAGCAGAAGTGAGTGCTACGGGGCGATAGTCATTTAGTTCAGTTACCATAGCTTTCTTGGGTACAGGAACAACGGTGGACATCTTGAAGCAAGTCGGGACAACAGACTGGGATAGGGAGAGATTGAATATGTCCGTCAACACTCCAGCCAGCTAGCTCTGAGGCCGGCAGCCTTGCGAGGGTTAACATGGTTAAAATGTCTTACTCACGTCGGCCACTGAGAACGAAAGCTCACAGTCCTCATCAGCGGCAGTGACCCGAGTCGGCGGCACTGTGTTTTCATCAAAGCAGGCGAAGAAGGTGTTTTGCTTGTCCGGAAGCAAGGCATCAGTGTCTGCAACATGGCTGGTTTTCCCTTTATAATCCATGATAGTCTGGATACCCGGCCACATACATCTCATGTCTGAGCTGTTGAATTATGACTCCACTTTGTCTCTGTAGTGACGTTCTGCCTGTTTGATTGCCTTACGGCGGGCATAGCTGAACTGTTTGTACTCGTCCATGTTCCCAATCACCTTGCCGTGGTTAAATCCGGAGGTTTGTGCTTTCAGTTTTCCGTGAATGCTGCCATCTATCCACGGCTTTTGGTTTGGATAAGTTCTAATCGTCACAGTGGAAACACCATACCCTATGCCAGTGGTCACCAACCTTTTCTGAGTCAAGATCACTTTCGGAGTCAAAAATCAAGCCGAGATCTACCGCTCAGCTTCTTACTTAAAATATGTACGCCTATGCAACATTAAC